GGGGTAGAAGAGATTGTGGGGCGAGGGGTGGGGGTGTCAACCCGGTTCGCGGGGAGAGTTGACCCCCTCCTCCTCCTCTCCTTATGTTAACTGTTACAGCCTCCCCGGAGTGGTGGAGGCTGACAGGGGTGGGGGGGGGGAGCGGCGGTGGTGATGCTGGACAAGGGGTGGAGGAATCAGCACCACCATGGTCTTTCCTTTATTGTTGTCATTTATAGCAGCGACCGGACTGTGTCTTTCTTTACCGGTGTTTTTTTTTGTTGCTGACAGTAGGAGGGACTTGATTCTGGGGTTCGGTTCAGGAGAGGCGGAGCTCCGACTCCTGTAGAGACTGAGCGCCTGTCTTTGTTTACACCGGGGGCTGGGCTGAGCCCTGAATCTTTCATCCTCACCGTTCCAGCAACCTAGAGAGCTGAATGCTGTTACTGCTTGATTTTAAACACGGCGGGATGTTGCCATCTCTCCCACCCACTGCCTCGCAATTCAGTGCCCTCTCATAGCTTTAAAATATGAAAGATCAACGTTGAATATTCCATCCTGGTCTTTTAAGTCGCTCCTTAAAACTTGCAGCCTTTTCGGTTCCACAGATGTATTTTCCTATATGCGACTCCATGTCAATTTTTTGTTTGATTATCGTTCATGTGAAACGGTTTTGAGATGTTATATTGTTCACGGCATTATCGAAATGCAAGATATTCTAGTTATTTTAAAATAATACAAGCTTTGTTTTGTAGTAATTTGATTATGTTTGAGCGAGAAGTGTGACCTTTTAAAAGCTGAATTAAGGTATTAGTGTAATGGGAGATGCACCATATTGTTCATCCTTTTCACTCGTTCCTTGTTTACATTTTTTTGACGTGCCTTCAGATTTGCTGCTTGAAGCGAGCCCAGGAGCTGACATTTTGTGTAGGGCTCCCCCTACTGTGAATCTCTCCTTGAATGAGAATTGCTGTTCATGACCCGCGTCAGTCCCGACGCTACTGAGGTTGAAATTCCTTATTATCACACCAAGATGGGTTCTTGCAGAAGCAGTTTTGAAGTAGAACACAAGGCAGTGAAAAGTGGCAAGACGACAGCATTAGGATTACAAAAAACTGAAGATACTGCAAACAGTAGCTCAGTACTGAGAGAAAAAGAAAAGTTAATATTGACTGATCTGTGGCATGAATTGTCTTCGTTTGATTTGCAGGATTTTAAAAAAAAATTGACACGTCTTTTTTAACATTTAATTTGCACGTACTCCCTTTTACGTCCTGAATTGCTGTGCCACCTTATACAAATTTAGCATCAGCCTAAGCATGTCTACATAAGTTATAACGAATTTAATTAGTATGTTGATTGTTTACAAACACAGTTAATGTTTATGTTAAAGTACCCAATATTGAATTTTTGTATCAAATGTATCCTTCATTGCTTTTGAAACATTTTGTTTGGAGATTAAAAAAAAACATATTAGAATTTGCACTATATTCTCAGTCTGTTGCAGTAAAAAAAACTCCAGTTTTCTCTATCTTGATGTGGTTAGGAACAGAGGGTAGGACATTTAACCCCTTGAGCTTTTCCATTTTATGAGCTGATCTGTTGCATAACTTGACATACCTGTTTTTGCGTCATACCTTTGGGTGATAAAAATCTATGGATATTACATTTAAAATTTAAAAACAAGAAACCTAATGTTAATTGCCATTTGCAGAAGACAGTTCCAGATTTCTATCACCTTTAGCATTAATTCCTAATTTAATTCCTGAAGGGCTTGTTACTGATATTTAGACTGTGCTCCCAGGTCCAGGACACTCAGTCAATGGAAATGGTTTCACGCAATCTGCCCTATCTGTTCAATTTAACATCTTTAAAATGTTGATCTTTGACCTTTCTAAATTTCAGAGAATGCAATTCTAGGTTTTGTAATCTCTCCTTGAATTTGAAGGATTCTCCCATTGCTTTAATGGATGTGCTTTCTGCGAATAAGGTTGAAAAGACCAATTTACTGGTTGATGTCATCTGGTGTGACGGTAAACCATGTCTCTGAAGAAGTGATACTGGACTTGAAATGTTAACTGTTTCTGTATCCACGGATGCTGCCAGACCTACTGAGTTTTTCCAACATTGTCTGTGTTTGTTTTAGACAAAATCTTGATTTGTGTAACTGATTGTAAATTCTGCATATGGGGATCAGTTCTGGAATGAGAGATGGTGGCAGAGGTTTTGATGTGAGACAACTCCACTCTCTTTCTGAAGTCTGTGAGTGAGCCCACTAAATAGCTTTTGCCAAGCTATGATTGATTTCATCATGAAGAACCTCCTAAGGTAGCAAAATCTCTACTGAATAGAGCGGTGTGTTGTTAGCTATGGAGTTTAGAGTACGTGGCCCAAGCTGGAGGTTGCTAATTCAAGATTCTCGCAGCTTAAACCTTAAGAATTGTGTTGGCAAGCCTCTGAACTCCCACCAAGATTATCATTACCTTCCAGAGGCATTGACTCGATTCTATGGAAACTGCTAGCTCCCTGGCATCCTGCTTATGTGAGCCTAGTGATTGCAAATCTGGAAAGCATTACAAATTCCAAAACCTCTCATCGCCTTTGCATGTAGATGGGTTGCTGGTAATTAATTAAGTGTGTTGTGGATTCAACACTGACCAGGAACTGTACTGTCCTAATTTAAATGCATTGAGTAACAAGTTCAAATACTGAATTTATTAGGAAACCACATGTCAGTGCTACTGAAATAAAAAAGATAAATGTGGCTCAAGCATCTTTTAATTTTTTTACAGAAAAAAATCTCAACGGAACCAACATTCAGAGCACATTTCTGACTGTTATTTATGCAGCGATTTTGCTTTGTTCTTTGAAGTGCATGATAAAATGGGGCAGAGTCAGCATGGTTTCAGTAAGGGGAGATCATGCCTAACAAATCTGATAGAATCCTTTGAGGAGGTAACGCACAAGTTAGACAAAAGAAAGCCAGTGGACGTGATCTATTTAGATTTCAAGGAGGTCTTTAACAGAATCTTGCACAAGAGGCTGCTAAATAACACCCCATATTACTAGGAGCTAGCATGGATGAGGATTTGCAGATTGGCAGGAGGTATAATGTGGGGATAAAGGAGCCTTTTTCTGGATGGCAGCCAATGAATAGTGGAGCTCTGCAGGGGTCAGTCTTAGGACTGCAACTATTTACATTATACGTTAATGATCTGGATGAAGGAACCAAAGGCATTGTTGCTAGGTTTGCAGGTGACACAGTTGAAGGGACAGGTAGTGTAGAGGAAGAAGGGAGGTTGCAGTAAAGCTTAGACAGTCTAGGAGAGTGGCAGATGGTACGCAATGTGGGAAAGTTTGAGGTTTTGCCCTTTTGGAGGGAAGATAGAGCCACAGACTGTTTTCTAGATGGGGATAGGCTTTGGAAATCTGAAGCACAAAAGGACTTCGGAGTCCTAGTTCAGGATTCTCCTAAGGTTACATGCAGGTTCAGTTGGCAATTGGAAGGTTAATGTGATGTTAAGTGCATTTCGAGCGGGCTAAAATACAAGAGCAGGGATGTACTGCTGAGGCTGTATAAGGTTCTGGTCAGTCTGCATTTTGAATATTGTGCGCGGTTTAGCCTGTTACCCAAGGAAGGCTGTGCTGCCCTTGAAAGGGGTCCAGAGGAAGTTCACAAGGATGATTCTGGAAATGAGGGGCTTGTCATATGAGGAGTAGTTGAGGACGAGGGGCCGGAACTTGCTGGAGGCTAGAAGGATGAAAGGGGCTGTCATTGAAACTTACAGAATACTGGAGTAGCTGGATAAATTGGACATGGGGAAAATGTTACCACTAGTAGGAGTGACTAGGGCCTGAGGGCACAGCCTCAGAGTGAAGGGACGATCCTTTAGAACCGAGATGAGGAGGAATTTCTTCAGCTAGAGGATGTTGAATCTGTGGAACTCATTGCAGAAGGCTGTGAAGGCCAAGTCATTAAGTGTCTTTAAGACAGAGATAAATAGGCTATTCTTTAGAATGGGGATCAAAGGTTACAGCGGAAAGCAGGAGAATGGGTTGAGAAACATATTAGTTATGATCAATGGCAGAGCAGACTCATTGCGCCAAATGGTCTAATTCTGTTAAAATCAGCTTTTTAAAAAAAAGCAATGGAAGTGTGTGTGGTTTTAATCTTCCTAACATTCTGGCTAGCTTAATGCTATTTTAGTGAATGATTGAGGAATATGAGAATTTAACACTTCCAGGAATAAGTGTTTGAAGACCTGTTTGCTCAGCACTGATTTAGTTGCTGTATTTACATGCAAATGGAATGAGCATTGTCTGGAGACGTATTGGTAGGATTAACTTGTCAACAGTTGGGAACCATTGCAATGCGTTCAAATCAATATGGGTTCTTTTGGCACAGTGTTGGACACTACCAGAAGATCTGGATTTAAGATTCCACCTCTCCAGAAGTGAGTCAACATGTCTAAACAGGTTGTTTAAATATATCTACTGGTCCTGTCCACAAAATCTACTTTTAAAAAGCAAATTTGAAAATTATATTAAGTTTCGTTGATCACGATTTTAGCTGATCAATGCTGTTATTTAGTACTGGTATGGCTGATTGCAATTTTATGGAGCCAGCATAGCATAACCATTAACATTTTTGTATAGTGAACCAATCATCTTATAAGCTGAGGTTTCCAGAATTCTAGACCCTATTCTGCATTAAGTTGAATATTTAGAATAGAACTATTCTATGATTCTAAAGTATGTAGTTTCAGTTGTGAGCTCCAAATGCATTTTGCTGTGTTCACTTAAACTCACAGAAAAACCTAACTGCAGGTTTCTTTTGAAAATCTCTTAATGAGGAGTAAAAGTAGTGGAAATGACCATCCTTGTATGAAAATAATCCTTATTGTAGTGTATTGGTAGGTTTACCAATTGACATTTTGGGGACTGTGGTGCGTATAGCCTGATCATATCATAGCATGTCGCATTGATTTAAAAAGCTGTGTCTCTGCTGTTGAGCCATTGTGAAACTACATGCTAAAAATAATCAGAAACCGAGATCCAGTCAGAACTTATGGAAGGAAACCACACCAGGAGTTCCCTCTTTAATGATGTTGAAGGTCTACCTACAACACATAGATTTAAGTAGTTCAAGAAGGCAGCACACCTTCACCACCGTCTCAATGGGCAATTAATACTGGCCCAGCCAGCAACACTTCTGTTCCCTGGATGAATAAGAGAAAAATACTGACCAGGGTTGAATAGAGGAGAGAATCTGAAATTGTTTGGAGTTGATCATCCTGAGCAATAATCTTCTGAAAAACATATTTATTATGAATCAACAATTCTCACCAACCAGTAAGCTGAACAGGACTTTTAAAATTTCCAATAAAATTAAATTGCTGTAAAAAAGAACATTTTTGTTATGAAGAGTTGCATTGGAACCAGGCTGCTTGTTTCTTTGAACTTTGCATGTCCCCAAGTATTATTTCAAGTGAGATTTTGTTTACCAAATAGGACCATAGGTTAAAGCACAAAAAGAGTATTGTGTATAATGCATAATATGTAAACAATTCTTAAAAATATAGTGGATTTTTAAAATTCTTTTTAGTTGTGGGTTTTGCAGGTAAGACCGGTGCTTGTTGCTGTCCCCAAGTTCCCTTGATTTGGTGGTGGTGGCACTGAGTTGCCTTCTTGAATTGTTGGAATCCATATGTGTGACTATACCCACAGTGCTGTTAGAAAGCAACCTGCAGGATTTTGGTCCAGGAACTGTGAAGGAATGGCGATTTATATCTCCATGTCAGGATGATATCTAGCTTGGTGGGGAACCTGCAGGTTGTGATCTTGCCCTGGGTTTGCCACATTTGTTCTAGGTGGTAGAGGTCATTGCTTTGGAATGTGCTGTTGAAAGACAACACACTGTCCCATTGGTGATAGAGCAAGTAAATATTTACAATGGTGAATGGGGTGCTGATCAGGTAGGCTTTTTGTTCTGGTTAATGGTAATCTTCTTATGTTGTTGAAGTTGCATTCATCTAGAAGTGTGGACCGCTTGGGGATGTTGAACAAGATTTGAGGAGATGGAACGTGAGTTAGTTGCCTCTGATTTGTTCTTGTAACTATTGCATTTCAATACCTGGTCCAGTTCAATTTTTGGCCTAATCTAACTGTCAAGATGTTGGTTGTGGGCGGTTCAGCAAAGGTAATGCCATTGAATATCTTGGGGAAATGTTTCTCTTTTATTGGAAGTGGTCACTTATGTGAATGTCACTTGCCACTTATTGGTCCAAACTGAAATGTGTTACAGGTCTTGCTACATGTTGACATGTACAGCTTCAGTATAAGTGTTCTGCAGCAATGGCCTGGAAGTGAAATGATTGGCCTCATCAAGCACATCCATCTTTTTTGTACTAGATATGGGTCCAACCAGTAGAGAGTTTGTGCCTTGATTCCCATTGCTCTAAATTTCATATTTCATAAAATTTACACAATTCATTTTTGTGAAGAAAAATGCATATAAGTAGTAAAAACAGTATGGAAATTATAAAACTGAGTGGAAGCAGGTCAACACGCAATTCAGTACTCAATACAGACTCCTTATGCATTTATGGAGAGATATTACTGAGGATTGCTCTGCCTACAGACAGTATGATGGACTTATCACCGTGAACTCAGCAAATCAGGAAGCTGTTGATTGGGTTTGGGGATTTGGATTTGCTAAATACAAATAAAGTTGGTGAATTTTGTAATGCATTATAGTTAAAGGAGATGTATGAGTCATGAGTTTATTTTCACTTGGGTTTTTTTTGCACTCATGTATGCTTAAAGTGCATCAGAACTCTTAAAGTTAAAAAATATTACCTAGTATTTTGAGCCCAGTTTTTCTCTCTCAAACTAGGAAGTATGTGAAACAAGTAAATTTGCAAAGGCCCTTTTAAAGATGAAAGTAAACATCTATATTGCAGTAAAGATTTATGTTTGTTTTCTGATGGATGTTTCCTATTGAAAAATCCCATGGCTTGTTTCAAACATTCATTACAATTAATATGACCTATGATGAAAGTGTTGATGTTCTTAGAAAAATGTTATGCAATGCAATTATATTAATTTGAGGTTCATAGCGTGAAGTTGGTGTGTGTATTTATTTGTTAATGTGATCTTGTATGGTTAATTGAATGCTATCCTTTTTCTGTTTCCTGTGAATATTCAATTACAGCCACAAACCAGTGGTTTATCCCTGCAGTTAGGGGGGACATCCCACCTGGTTGTGCAGCTTATGGCTTCATCTGCGATGGCACCAGGATCCTGGTATTTGGAGGAATGGTAGAATATGGAAAGTATAGCAATGATATGTATGAATTGCAGGTGAGCAATTGTTCCAACTGCTACATTTATTTTGTGTATTAAAATTTCGTCTCAGCTTCTCAGATCCTTCGTTTCTTTGGTTCAGAGCTCTCCTTGATAAATGGCATATTATGTTTACAAATGTAATTTTCTGTTTAAAATTTCAAATTGGTAAGGCATACTAGAAATTTGGCATTTTGAGATTCTCATCTATGTTTTAGAATCCTTCTATGACCTCACCCGTTCCTATCTCTAACCCCTTGCAAACCCCCTAGATTTCTGTGCTGCACCAATTCTGGCTTTGTGTAATCTGGGTTTTAATTGCTCCACCATTGATGGACAAACATTCTGGTGCGTCAACCCTAAGCTCTAGAATTATTTTCTTAATTCTCTCCACACCTCTGCTTTTCATACCCTCTTTTTAACATGCTCCTCAAAATCTTTGAACAAGTCTGGTTATCTGACCAGATATGTCTGTCTGTGATTTTGTCTCATTTTGGTTCTATATTGTGGTAAAAGCCACTATGTAAATACAAGTTGTTATTTACTTGATGTAAAAATCAATTTTTTTTTGTAGGCAAGCAGATGGGAGTGGAAGAAATTAAAACCAAAACCTCCTAAAAATGGTCCACAACCCTGTCCCCGCCTTGGTCACACCTTGTGTCTTGTTGGGAATAAGTGTTACTTATTTGGTGGCCTGGCTAATGACAGTGAAGACCCAAAGAATAATATCCCAAGGTACCACTCGCTCACTTCTGCTTCAAATAGTAATTTATGTTGTAATACTGCAATACCAGATGCCTGATACTGTTGCTAATCTTTGGCTGTAGCACTATTGACTTTTGCTACATTTCATATGGATTTGTACAGTGAATTTAAGAGCCTTTTCAGCAGCTACCGGTGAATGGGTTGACGACTGATATTTCAAGAATTCCACAATCTATAATTCGTTGTATTGAGCTTATTTTTAATGTTCTATTCATTTATAAAGTGGGTGAAGTTGGCTGTCACTACTAGACAGTGTTGTAAGTCAAGCAAATGTAGTAGGTGGTTTTCCTGAGATGCGTTGTACTAATTGATTCTGTGAAACAAAGCAAGAAGCAAGATTTTGGATTATACCCATAATAATATTATATAAGAAGAATTAGGAAATTGGGTTTTGCAAATGATGATCATGATTGCAATTGCCTGAATCCATCTCTTTCTGCACTGCTTCCTCTTTTAACAAAATATATCCTGAGATGTTTCATAGAGGGGGAAATGGATGCCGAAGGGGAAATGGATGCCTAAGGGAAAGGTTAGAATAGGTGACTGAATGAAAGATTGGAAAATTATTTGCTGCGAAGGGTTTTTAAAACGGATCCTGACGAGAAGGGTTGGAGAGGAAGTTCCAGAGTTCAGGACTAAAGTGGCTAAATGTATTGTTTCATGTATGTTCCAGCCATACAATTTAAAAATCAATTGTGTCTGAAAACCAGACACTTTGTCAAAAGCATATATGAAGGAAATGGAATGCAGTGTGCAAATGGCCTTATGTGATTGCTATGAAACCTGTATATTGAATGTCAATATATGATATTGCTGTAAATGTAACACAAATAGTTTTAAAAATAATTTTTTGGGGAATTAAATGACTCTCTTTCTTTCTGCATGCACCATTTTCATTCTTGTTTGGGCATAAGTCTGATGAATGCATACTACTTAGATATATATAATGTTAATTTTGGAGACTGGATTTTAAAAAATAGTGGCACTTCGATGTTGGTTACTTTTGTGAAGAGTCAACTTTAAACAAAAATAAAATGAAGAGTCCTTCTGGACTCCTTCAGAGAGCAAGTGGCTGCAGACCCTTGTTAGATTAATGAAAAATTATCTATATGGCAGTGGTTTAACATTGAAGTCTGTTAGATTGCTTTGAGTACAGAATAATCGAGGATTGATTTTAGTTTAGAAAACCACGAGATTGAAAGTTTTTAGGGCAGTTTGGAGCTGCCGTAACTGGAATCAGAAGCAACCATGTCTTGTCTCCTAGAAAGAAGTTCTTCATAGTTCAGGGCTTAAATTAACCCAACAGATTAGTTTATAAACCTAAGCTGTCAGTTTTGTTGGTCTTCATGTAAGAAAACTCCAATTTCACAGGAAAGAAACTGGGTGGAATTAGTTATGTAAAAATTGAAGATTTGATATGAAAGGGTAATTTCCCTGGACCTGTTTTGCTGTCAATTCAAGGTATTAGGAAATAGATTGAAACCTTTGTTTTGCTGTGGATTTTAAGATTTTTCTAAACTGTCTTCAATATCTAAATAATCTAATTTTGTTTTTTTTTGTCTTTTGTGAAATAAGCTTATATTGTTAAAGAAACCTTTCAGCCTTGCGAGATTATGTTTCAGTGACTGACTATCATGTTAACTAATACAAAAAAAAAATCTATGAAGTAGTTCCATTAGCTGGGATCATAACCTTTCCTTTAATCTGTAGCTTGACTGTAACCCTTGTACTTCAACAACTAACCCTCTTACCTTGTTTGTCAATGCACTTAACCCTCTCTTCACTGGTTTGGAGTTGTCCAGTACTTTTTTTGACATTAACCTTACACTCCTAAAAACAAATCAGTTGTGTCTCACTTGAAACCCTTGACTGTTTTTGACTCCCATTACATACCAACATTGGAGTCTGACTAATATTACATTTAAAACTTCATATCTGTGTGTGCACCTCTGGTAAAGGACGCAACTTCTGTGAAACTAGTCTACATAAGTGATTTCTGTTATAATTGAAGACATATGAGTGCGTAATGGAAATATAATAAAAGTATGACTTTGATATGGGATCTCAATTATGGCTCTGCATCTAGTGAAATTATTCCCTGTGCTGTATCCCATTTTTAACTGAAGAATGCACTTTGAAAAATATTGCTTTGTCTGCAAAGCATATCTTCTCCATCATTTGTGAAAAGAAAATTTGACTGTGCTTTTAATGTTTCAAGAGTGTAAGGCTAACGTACTTCTGTGTCAAATTGAGAGTGCTGAATCTTCCATCAAATGTGATTGATAACTATTAAACTTTGATCAACTTCAGTATCAAATTCAGTTAAAGTTGATTGAGGGGCAAAATGTAGCTTTATTTATTGCTGCTAGTTGATGATTGAAGAGTCACCACTGACAAAGATGACAACCAGTCCATTTTTAAACTTGTGTTGATTTTGTCAATCTCCATCCCATGTTAAATGTGAACTTTTTTTTGTTTGCTGTACTTGAAGGTACTTGAATGACTTGTATACTGTGGAGCTTAGATCTGGATCAGGAGTGGTAGGATGGGACATTCCTGTTACACATGGCACCCCACCTCCTCCAAGAGAATCTCACACTGCTGTTGTTTATAAAGATTCAAAGAAACCAAAGATGATCATTTATGGAGGGATGAGTGGATGTAGACTTGGTGACCTTTGGATATTGGATGTGGGTAAGTGCACAAAAGACTTAAAGTCCATCTAAATGTTTATGGGCTCCAATTGTGCAAGGCCCTAGGACATTTTACATGTAAAATGTACTACTTGAAAAAAAATTTATTGTTCAGAAAGTATGGAGTTCATTTTCAAATGGCTATCTATCCTGTAATGTGATATCCCAAAAATACAAGGGAGGGTGGATGGAGAGAGACAATGCTAATCCTTTTAATCCTTTCACTTCAAAACTCTTCTTGAATGTTCTTCTCACAGCTAGTATGGTTTGGCAGCAACACTAATTAAGACCAGAGCATCAAACTCATTCAAAGAAAGAAAATCTAGTGGTTTATGATTTTGAATGACAGCTCCAAATTTGGGACCCTAAACCAGATCATCATCATTATGATCTGGTTAAGGACTGGTAATCTTTTATTTTAAAGTGAAGGAAAGATTAGATCCAGGGGCTTACAAAGAAAATAAAGCCACAAGATTCCACAGTTTTGAACAAACAACAGTACTTTACTGTATAGTTTAGAAAAGTAATACAATTTCTGACAAATATACAATTTATTTCCAACAACCCAGAATTAGCATGTTATAACCAAAGGTAATATATTTGGTAGAACATCCCACAGTGCATTTCAAAGGCAGATTCCCCCACTCCAAAACAAAAGACATTTAACAGCACAGTTGTTCATCAAATTTGATTAAACTTAACAAGTGATCATAATTCTTCACATTTGCTGATCCCTCTCAAGAGCCACTTTGTCATGGACAGTTCCTGCTCTTGTCAATCATCCTTCTATTCTGGGTTCATGCTCCCATTGGCTCTAAAACTGCACACCAGTATTTATTTACTGGGACAACTCCAGCTTCTTGCCATTAGTTGGCTTCACTGAGCTAAAATTGGTGGATTTCCCAGACTTAAATTGTACTCGGTTGGATGAAGCCAATGCTGCTTGTGAGCATTTCAGTCCCCATTCTCTCAGCTCCACTGAAGTGTTAATACTTGCAGGCTTGCTCCAAACCCTTCAGCATTTCCCCCAAAAGTGAGCCTGTAACCTTTCGTCCTTTTCGTTCCCCAGGACTTCATCTGAGTCCTAACTGCAATTTTGAACTGCTTACTTCTATCTGAGGTTTTCTAGTGACACAACCATCTAACTGCTTTTGTCTGCTCTGCAGCACAGCTAAAAGTTAGTACTCCTAACATTGAGACTGCTTCTTTCTCGGTCTCACAACTCAATAACCTTCAGTCCCTGTCTGTATTCTTTCAAACAGTTCTTCTGTAACCCCCAAACTGTCCTGAGTAACCTATTAAATACCTTATGATGAACCCTCTCCTTTCACAGGGCAGAATTGAATGTCGCAACTTCACAACCTCTGGTTCTGTGAATGTTATGGTTCTCACACAGGCTGGAAATGGATTTCATGATATGCTATAGTGTGTAGATGAACTGATGTGTTCTTGGGTATTGAATTGGCATGTTTTAGAATTGTGCAAAATGCTGAGAGCCTGTATTAATTTACAACATCAGATGTCTCAACATATCATGTGTTTAGGGCAAATCAAAAAAGGTGCAAAGATATTTATTCAAACAAGCACCCAATGTTGCAAGTAACCACACGTACATTTATTGTGTAGAAAACAATAAGGGCTGGTGGTGTGGGGGTCTTTTGTTCTTTCTAGATCCTTCAAATTTGTCTGTCCCCACACAAGCGCATAGTCATTAATCTCATTATTCATGTTTGACCAGTAGGTCGCTTCTCTTGTCTTCCTCAGACTAGACTTGATTCCTTGGTAGCTTGTGTTGACGTGACTTGACGTAAGCTGGGCACTTGATTGTCAGACTGTTTATCTGCCTCAGTTGGGTTTATGACTTCCAGAGCATGCCTTACTGTTGCTGCTTGTTGATTCTGGAAGGTTTCTCGCTCTGTATTGTATTTCCATCGTAAACCTCCTTCAATGGGATTGTATTTTTTGGCAGCATATGTATCTTCAATGTCAATGTATATCCATTTTCCCTCCTTGTGCTTCACTTCCAAGTGGTAGCTCTGCAAATGAAGTAACATCATTTGTAACTACCTATGGAACAGATAGAAATGGTTTGACAAAGATAGAATCCCTACAGTGTGGAAACAAGCCCTTCGGCCCAACAAGTCCACACCGACCCTCAGAGCATCCCACCCAGACCCATCCTCCTATAACCCACCTATTCTACACATCCCTGAACCCTATGGGCAATTTCCCATGGCCACCCCACCTAGCCTGCACATCGTTGGACTGTGGGAGGAAACCGGAGGAAACCCATGCAGACACGGGGAGAATGTGCAAACTCCACACAGTCACCCGAGGGTGGAATCGAACCCGGGTCCCTGGCGCTGTGAGGCAGCAGTGCTAACCGCTGAGATGCTTTGGAGTGGCTTGTGGTTAAACTCTACCAGTATTGTTTCGCTCCTGTGGTAGTACTGGTTTAAATACTCACAAACAAAGACAGTAGCCAGATACTTGTGATCTGTGCGCACTGTCTTTAATATGGAAGACACAAATTAGGAGCAGAAATAGACCATTCAGCCCCTCGATCCTATTCACCAATGAACGCATCATTGATCTGTTTCGTCCACTCCTCCCCTCCACCAATGCTCAGTAACAGCAGTGTGTACCATCTACAAGATGCACTGCAGAAATTCACTAAAGATCCTTAGACACCACCTTCCAAACCCATGACCACTACCATCTGGAAGGGCAAGGGCAGCAGATACATGGGGGTGCCACCAACTGCAAGTTCCCTTTCAAGCCACACATTGTCCTGACTTGGAATGACATCGCCATTCTGAAGGTGTCACCAGGTCAAAGTCCTGGAATTCCATCCCTAATACCATTGTTGTCTCCCTACATGTCATGCACTGCAGCAGTTCAAAAGGCAGCTCGTCACCACCTTCTCAAGGGCATCTAGGGTTGGGCATGAAATGATCACTTCAACAAAATTTATATTTTGTAAATTAAGCTCTTCCCTGTACCAGATAGGGTGGTCATTTTCAATCTTTTCCTTTGTAGTTTCAATTTCATGTTATCACTTTAAGGAACGTCACACAAATCTGTGAAACGTAGAACCAGTGTCTGATGCTTCATGTCAATTTGATGCTCTCCTAACAGTCCCAACACTTATTAACTCAAAATGTAACAATGCCAACTGTAGGGTGTAGAATTACTCTTCACAATCGCCCCAGCAATCATCTTTGCAGGCTCGCTTTTTATTTTCCAAATTCACAAGACTCAGTGAGATCTGCAATGCAATACAGTTTGCAACAGTCCTCTACCCATCAATGATAGCAATCTTATGTGTTCAGATTTCTTGTCCAACTGTATATCAATGTCATAATTCTGCCATCTGACCAGGAGAATTGCCAATTCCCCCTCGAATCTTTATGTATGTGAGGAGATAACAAGGAGATGGTTTGCATATCTAATGGCTGACCTGCAAATGATATGCCTCAATCCAAAGGCTATCAAAATCCCAATGACTCACTTCTGGCACCATATTTCATAAAATGTGAGCACCTTTGTTATTTTAAATTGATGTCAGCAAGCCAAAGCTTCAGAAGTAATTATTTAAGTGGAATAAACCATAATCAGTGAATTTTAAGGTCAGAGGCTTTTCTGTTGCAGAGATTAAAAATGACTGGCCTATCTGGTGTAAGGAAAAGCTTAATTTACAAGTATAAATTTGATACATTCTTGGTTTGATTATAATTCTGAGAAATTATCTGAAAAGTGCTGTCTGACTTTGCACTGCTAGTGAAGTGACTACTTCATGAAATTAGTCTTAATTAATTTTACAGTAAATACAAATTTAGAATACAAAGCCTGCTGTAATTTAATGTTAGCTAGGCAAATGTATTGGATAGACCCTTCAGAATGGATAGATGAGTTCTCAAATTCCCACTTCATTTTCTGCCACTTGGAATAATGTGTGGCAGTGTTATCCTGTATTTGCGCGATAACTGATTTTAATAGGATGCTAACGTGGGTTACACAAGATTGAAAGAAAGATCTTGGCATTGATATCCTTAAATGTTATTTTTTTAGTGCTGTTTTACGGAATTGTGGATAACATTATCTGGTAAACCATTGGAAATTAGCAGAAAACAGGAAATTAATAAGGTCTTAACACAGACCAGGGGTCAATGTCTACAGGGAGTTTTCCAAAGTGGGATTGGGACTTCACCAGTGGTTGTGAATGGAAATTTTGGGGTTTGCGAGCTCCATGGCAGCAATGTGCCTCAACCCTGTCACCACAAAGTCACATAGGAGTCAAAATCGTTAATTCTGTTTCTGCCTCCAAAGTGCTGCCAGACCTGTTGAGTTGCTCTGGCATTTTTGTGTTTATCCTTTGTTTTGTTCCCTCCCTTGGCTTCTGTACTGAGCAACATTTTATCCTCCATGATTCCAATCTCCATTTTTTGCCCCCTTTTAACCTCTAGTAACCTTGAGTCCTCCTTCTCTGCCCCATTGCCCTCACTTTTAGCAAAACATGTAGGCTTATGCATGACTTTGTTATCGGCTTGAGAACATCATTTCAGTTTCCTGTCCTCCTCTTTCTACCAAGCTAAATTCACCCTTCTGCCGGTTTCTTGTACCCTAGCCCTAGAACCTGGATCTCATTCTAGTTCCTCTCCTATGTCCTCTCACACATCTCGTAATTTCTGTTATGCTTCGATCCCGCAAATTCATTGCTGGTAAACTACTGAGTAGCCACCCTCTTTCTCTCGTTCATGAAGTAGCTGACATTGTAACTAGCTTTGACACTATGCCTGTTGCTCCTCCACCTTCAAAGCTGTGTCCTCGCCCCTTTTGATTGAATAAAACCCACCCTTGCCATTTTTTTGACCTTACAAACTTATGCCCCATCTCAGGTCTTCCTTGCCTTGCCAAAATGCTTGACCTTGTAGTTGTTTCCCAATCCACACCTGTCTTTCTCGCAGTTCCTTTTGCCTCTCTCTGACTAGGTTTTCACCCAAAGTACAGTACGATTAGCACTCCCAAACAAACTAGCAAATGCCATCCTGTATGAATGACTGGTGCATTGTATCTCAACTACTTCCTTAACTTCTCAGAGTCTTTGGCATGTTCTGACCACATCAGTGTCTTTCACCAGTTTTGTCTTGTCCATCTCAGTGCGACCGCCTTGCTGGGTTCCACTGGTGCCTGTTCGAGGTTAAGGTATCTCTGGCACTGGCTTCTCTTCCCACCCTTTCACTGTTATCTCCAAAGCACACACTACCTCCTAAAGTATGAGTATCTCTACGTGTGCTGTGACATCAACTCTATCTCTTCAGCACACGCATCGATTCTTCCATTGACTTAATTCTGTTTCTGGTATCCAGTCTTGGCTGTGTTCCATTTTGTTGTCCCAAGTAAACATTACTAAGACCAAAGCCTTCCTTTAGAAATTAATTATCCTCCACACTGCTGACATTCCCTGCCCTGACTATTGGCTTAAACTTAGTATTTTTGCTGTTTCTGTGTATTATGTAACTCTGAGTTGAATTTCTGACTAGATGTCATTTTTGTGAAAAAACAACTGTCTGTTTGCACCTCCACTGCGTTACCAATCTCGACTTCACCTCCTGTTATGTCCAGAATTGATTATTTCTTGCTCCTTGATCAGGTCCATTGCTGACCCCTCGATAAACTTCAATTCATCCCATAATCTTCCGCTTTTCCCCCATACTATTGCCCAAAATCTGGTTTTTAAATTCCCATGTATAAATACCTTAATGACCTGGGCCTTCCATGTCTGGAAACACCTTTCAATCCCACAATCATCATATAAAGCACTTTATTCCTTGGTCTCTGACCTTGTGGATCCTGTATTTTCCTGCCTTCGGTGACTGGTTAAGACTCCGAGAATTCTATGTTCTAGAATTCGGCCTCTACACTCCCTGTCCCCTTCACACTCCCTAACACCCACATCCTCGATTAAATTTTTGGTTACCCTTACTAATATTTCTATCATTATTTCAGCATTCATTTTTCTCCCCAGGGTACCTTTGTGAAGACTTCTAGCGTTTGTTGTGTGATTAAGATGCCATATAAATGCAAGTTGTTCTTTGTATTGTTATTTGTATGTTTGCAGAAGTGTTGATTATTGTGTAAAACTGTGCATAAATGACTAAATTGCTTGTCTTTGGCTTAATTTATCACTTTTTAACTATAGAAAAAAGCATTAAATGAACTGCAGTCTGTGGGGCTATTTATAGGGAAACATATTACTTTTGAATTCTTATCTGCACAATGCTGTTGGTCAGATATATTTACTGAGTATTGTCAAGTATTTCTTCCATTGTTTACAGAAAGCTTGGTTTGGACTAAACCAGCAACCAAGGGTTCGACACCACTCCCTCGGAGTTTGCATTCTGCTACTGTTATTGGAAATAAGTAAGTGCTCTCGCTGTTATCTAAATTCTCTAAAAATGTTAGTAATGAACAAGAAAGGAGGTGGTGATAGAGAGTCATTGTTCATGGCCTCAGGGTAGTGATGTGAATCATTTCCCATGTACATATGTTTGAAAGAATCATACCACCTCAATCAGAATGATTAATTGTTCTATTTCAAATAATTTGGAAAGATGTGAGAGAGACATTTTTGAAAATATGCATTGATCCATCTTTACGGGGGACTTTATAGGAGGTGAATATTGTGAACGATGAGCATCTGGGTGCTATACTTGAATCATTGTGGCTTTTAAAACACCTTTCCCCAAATATAATATTGCATGTAGGCTAGTTAAAAATTGAAGACTCCTTTCCCATTCCAAGCCAACAGAAATGTTTTGCTTCCAGGTGAAAGATTCTTGATCAAGATGATAAATCAAGTAATGTCTGCATGCTGGTTACATCAGTGCTGATGTATAGCTGTTGAAATGCGTTATCACACCTACCTACCACTTTTGATTACAATCATGTATGTTTGAATATCAGAATTGTTTTCAAATGTATTCATCCCAAGCAGATGTCCTTATCCCTTTGTGAAAGGTTCCTGTTAATAGTTTGCTGCCATGGTGAAGCAAGTTTGAGGTTGCAGCAAATATAAACATAACACCGACTAAGTGGTTGGCAGTGAGTATATCTCAGTGTCTCAGGCAGTGGTTTGCATTAGCATCACATGCACTGTAATTTTATAAACCACCGAGTGGTTTAGAACGTTGAATACCAACATTGCTTAATTATACTGTTATGGGAAATGCATTGCCTTTATAGTGAACTTTTGACGAGCTGATCCTACAATATTTACAAGTTTTAACTAAATTGTCACTGAAACTAAACTTAAGATGTATACGGCATTTGAATTTCTGATATTTTATTCCTAGTTATACAATGTTAATACATTTTTGTTTATTAAATTGTAATAATCATTGTTTAACATTTCATCTGTTATGTAACACATTTTAAAATTAGGTTCAAGAATCCTCTTATCAATGGTCTTTTTAGTTTGCATAAACTATTACCTGTCCTAGTTGCTTTGATAATTACATATTCGTTTAAATTCTTTTATAAATTAGAAGGTCAATTGTCCAAGTTGTTCGGCTTTCCTACCAGCACTTTTATTTCTAAATGAACTTTTCAAATGTGTGTTTTCAGAGTAAGTGTATCTGAACACTCCAAATTTCCCATCGGTTTGGATAATTGACGTTCTGTTGCATTTAACCAGCATGAACCATTGCCGATTGTGTTTTGCTTGTTAAGTCCGATATATCTGTTTCAAATACAATTGCACAGTTTTGTTGTAAATGGTTTTGAGCACAACCTGTTTATGTTTTTGTCTGTATTTATTTTCCTTTAGAATGTTTGTCTTTGGTGGCTGGGTACCACTTGTGATGGATGATGTGAAAGTTGCCACTCATGAAAAGGAATGGAAGTGCACAAATACACTTGCTTACTTACATTTAGGTCAGTCCCTTGAGTTTCCTTCTTAAGCAACTAATGAGTATGAAATCAAACCATATTTCCCCTCTTGTTATCTCCAGCCATTGTTTACAAATTGTAGCGGAAAATAATGTTTTCCATTTCTATTTTTTGTGCAATTTTGAATTTTGTCCATTAGGTAGAGCTGTAGTTCAGTCAGTAACACATTAACTAAGTCAGAAAGTTGCAGATTCAAATCTCGTTCTAGAAATTTGAACACACAATATAGGCTGACTGTGCAGTTCAGCATCAATGACATCCTGTCCTGTTAGCGGCACTGTCTTTTGAATGAAATGTTAAACCAAGGCTTTGTTTGAGAAAAAAATAAGTTAATGAGCAGCGATAGCTTATTCTATATTTTTAAGTTGAGAGAGTTATCTATGCTAGAAAGTAGTCTAGAATTCAGTGATTCAAAATTTCCCAGCAGAGTGTTCCCATTTCATTTTTCTGGCAGAATTGTGCCGTTCATTATAGAAGCAATTTTAGGTTTAGCAGTTTAAATCATTTGGTTGTGTACTTAATCTAAATTCAATAAATAATACATATCTGTTTGAGGAGGCAATTCTTCATGTTGTACTTGAGCTTTTTGCTATCTTCTAATAAAGAGAAAAGTCTATTTCCTTGAATGCCCATATTTATATTGATTGATTCTTGGCTTGGAGGTTTTTGCTCGATTCATCCACACTGAATATTTAAGATGATGCAGCAGATATGTCAATTTCACATCTGTGGTGGAAATAAGTTGAACGTTGACAATATTTTCCTATTTCTGCCTGATCATTATTGCATTAAGACCATAAGAATAGGAACAAGAGTAAACCCTCAAACCTGCTCTACCATTTAATAGGATCATGACTGATCCCTTACATTCACTTTCCTGCCTTTTTGCCATAATCCGTGATCTTCCCCTATTGATCGAGAATCTGTCTATCTCATCCTCAAATATACGCAGAGATTCTGTTCCCACTGCTCTCTGTGGCAAGAAGTTCCAAAGAGAGACAAACCTCTGTGAGAAGAAATTCCTTCTCATCTCAGACGTAAATTGGTGCCCCTTAATTCTGAGACTATGCCTTCTGCTCTTAGTCTCCAATGAGGAGGAACATCCTCTCAGCATTTATCCAGTCAAGTCCCTTAAGAATCCTATATGTTTTAATGAGACCTCTTTCATTCTAAATTCCAATGAGTAGAGTCCCAACCTGTTCAACCTTTGATCATAAGACAATCTCTGCATACTGAATCTTCTCTGAACTGCACCAATGAAATAATATCTTTCGTAAAATAAGGGGACCAAAACTGATCTCTGTACTCCAGATGTGATCTCACCAGCATCTTGTAGATATTTTTAATCAGCTTGTTCAGAGATGTTATTACACACCTCTGGAGAAGTTGGGACATGAGCCCAAGTCTCCTGGCTCAGAAGTACGGAGTCTACTACTGTGCCACAAGAGCCCTGCCAATACTTTGTAAGTTTTAGTAAGACTTCCTTACTCTTGTACTCCAACCCTCTTGAAATAAGAGCCAACATTCCATTAGTCTTCCTGATTACCTGCTGCAGCTTTCTATGTTTCATGCGCAAGTACCCCAAGGCCCTTTGTGTTGCAGCTTACTGCAGTTTTCTCCACTCTGTTCTTTTGTTTTCCTTTGCAAAATGTTCAACTTCACGTTTTCCCACATCATACTCCATTTGCCAACTTTTTGCCCACTTAACATTATTGATATCTCTCTGGAAACCGTATTCTACCTTTGCAACTATTCTTGTGGTATCTGCAAATTTGGCTGAGGTACATTTGCTTCCTTCCTCTAAGTCATTAATGTATATTGTAGACAGCTGCAGTCTCTGCACTGATCCCTGCGGAACCTCACTTGTTACATGTTAGCAACCTTAAAGGGAATCCCTTATCCCTACTTGCTGTTTCGTGCCCAATAGCCAATTCCACATCTGTACCAATATACTACCTCCAACACTATACACTTTTATCTTATGACTTAACCTTTTGAGGTACCTTGTCGAACGCTTTCTGGAAGTCCAAATACAACGCATTTACTGGTTCCCATGTATTCACTCTAGTTGAGACTTCCTTGAAAAACTCTGATAAATTAGCCAAACGTAATTTACCTTTCATGAAGCCATGCTGACTCTGCTTGATTGGATTATGATTTTCCAAATGTTCACCTACTACTTCCTTTAATAATTGATCCCGATATTTTTCCAATGATAAATGTAAGGCTAATTACCCACTTTTGCCTGCTTTCCTTTTTGAATGGGGGGTGTCACTGTGGCAGTCTTCTGATCCTCTGGTTCTTCCCAAAAATCTGAGGATTTTTGAAAAATTACAACCAATGCATCCACTATCTCTGTTGATACTACTGCTGGATCCTAGGATGCAAGCCGTCATGACCAGGGGACTGAGCTGCCTTTAGCCTCATGAGTTTGTCTAAAAGCACTACTCTAATGATGGTGATGGTATTTAATTTTCCCCTCATGGTCTTTAATTTTATGAGACTTCAAAGACTGATGCAAAATATGTTGCCCATAACTATCTTCCCAGATTAATTTTCTAAGGTGCCTATGTTCATTTTGACTTCTCTTCTTTTCTTTTTCATATATTTAAAGGAGTTCTTATTGTCAGTTTTTATATTCCTTGCAAGTTTGCCCTTGTAGTTTATTTCCTCTCTCTATTCTCTTTTGAGTCCTGCTTTGCTGGATTTGAAATTTATCCCAGTCTTTGGGGCTGTTACTGACTTTTGCCGACTTCTATGCTTTCTCCTTCAATCTTATACTGTCTTTAACTGCACTGGTTAGCCATGAGTGGTTTATCCCTCTCTTCGAACCTTCCTCCAGACTAGGATATATTTTGGCTGAGAGTCCCAAATTACCACCTTAAATGTCTGCCACTGCTTACTTACTATCTTTCTTGCTTATTTATCTGTCCACTTTAGCTAACTCTTCATCCTCATTTCATTATAATTCCCTTTAAGTTAAACACTATTGTTTCCAACCCACATTTCTCACACTAAAACCAAATATTAAATTCTTCATCATATGATAAATCTAATTAAATTTATTCCCATGCATATTTCTGTTTGTAAGACACCATGTGAAATGTAGACCAGTAATTTTATTTTATTCCATCAGGCCACAGGCACAGCATTTTATTTTCATGCTTTAGAGGCAAAAGCAATTTGATATTTTTGTAATTCCCCTAGTTGTAAAATGCATTGTTATTGTGTAATTAATTTCTTAAAAATGAAGGTCTAAATATATTGTTGTTTACCGGTTTCAGACTTGATAGTTTTAATGCATGTTACCATTGATCCTTTTATTATGTAGTTAATTCAAACAGAGCTTACTTTAGGAGCATATTGTCATTATGACTCACTCATGGCATGACTCTATTACCTGTTGCCATTACTAGATGGTTAAATGTTCATAAATCACTAGTTCATAAAGTGTATCCACAAATAAATAGTATTCGTAAAACTCATTGTATATTCAGATATGTCCTGGTTAAATTCTGGTAACATCGGGTGTACTTTATTTAATACTTGCATCAAATGTCTTATACAATTTCAACAATTTCATATAATATGTTGAAAGAGTCCTTTGAGGTAAGCAGTATGAAAACAATTTCAAAAGATAAATACAATTGTGTTTAATTTGTAGCTTTTTTGATGATATTGAATTATAAGTGGTGCAATTTTTTCTTAAGCATTGTTTTGGCAAAATGAATTAAGTTAATGGTATATCTCTAGCAGATGGCTACATCTGGACACCTGTAGTCTCAGACACATTGGAGGACAATGTACCAAGGGCCAGGGCTGGCCACTGTGCTGTTGCTATTCATACTCGACTTTACATCTGGAGTGGAAGAGATGGCTACCGGAAGGCTTGGAATAATCAAGTCTGCTGCAAAGATCTTTGGTATTTGGAAACTGGTGGGTGTTACATGGTCCTTTAAAGATAAATTTGCTCTGAATATTTTTTAAAATGAGTTCAAAATTGTTGTAGGAATAAATTGAAAGTATGTAAGGGGTTGTGTTTTCAAACAGCAAAGGTGAAATTTTAGAGTCATAGAGTTATACAGCATGAAAAAGGTTCTTTGGCCCGCCATGCCTGTGCTGATCATCAAACACCAAACGATACTAATCCCATTTACCTGCACTTGGTCCATAGCCTACTATGCCCTGGCATTTTAAGTGGTGCTGCACTTTGTGGGGTCCATAGTGTATAACTGGATTGCTGTAACTGTATTGGTTAACACAGAAGAGAGTGTCAGAATTAATGGGTTCTTTTCAGGTTTGAAAAGCTTAACTAGTGAAGTGCCACTAGGGTCAGTCCTACGGCCTCGATTATTTGCTATCTATATTAATGACTAGGAAGAAAGGGCATAGTGTAATGTATCAAAATTTGTTGAACAGATGCAGAAATAAGTGGGAGGGCATGTTGTGATGAGGACATGAGGAACCTGCAAGGGGATATCAATAGATTGAATGAGCAGGTAAAAAGGTAGCAGATGAGGTTTAATGAAGGAAAGTGTATGGTCATGTACTTTGGCAAGAAGTATCAAAAACTTGTAGCTCTGAAGAAGAGTGATACTGGATTCAATGTTAACTCCAGTTTCTGTGCCCGTAGATACTTCCAGACGTGCTAAGTTTCTCCAACACTTACTGATTTTATTTCAGATTTCCAGCATTTTGCTTTTATTCAAGATTCTGAGGTGACTTGACAGCATAGATGTTGAGATGTTTTCACTAGAGAGGAATCTTGAACTAGAGGACATAGTTACAGAATAAGAAAACAATCATTTAGAATGGAGGTGTGAAGGAATTTTGTCTCCCGGGGGAGCGAATGCCTGGAATTCTGTACTTCATGGAATTGAGTCTAGATCACTGAAAGTATTTAAAGAGAAGGTAGATAGATTTCTGAAATATCAGTGAGTTGATGGCTGTGCTGAGCTGCCAAGAAAGAGGAGCTGGGGCAGATCAACCATGAACTTATTGAATGGCAGAACAGGATTTTGAGGGACTGAAGGACCTACTTCTACTCCTGCTCCTGTTTTTAATGTTCTATGCATTCATATCTGTTTCAACTGCTTGGCTTTTATTACAAAAGAGGGGATGCACTAATTAATGGATAGAAAAAAGGAGCAGGACTAGGCCATGCGGCTTCTTGAGCCTGCTGTTCAGTTCCGTTAGATCATGATTGCCTACCTCGGTGCCATTTTCCAATTTATTCCTCGTATTCCTTAATATTTTAGAATTTAATGATCTTGAATGTACTGGATGACTGAGCCTCCAGAACACTCCACGGTAGACAATTCAGAAGTTTCATCATACTCTTGAGTGAAGAAACTCCTTTGCGTCTCCATATTAAATGCTCTACCTCTTATTCTAAGATTGTACCCCTTGGTTCTGGGCCCTTTAGCCAGGGCAAACATCCTTTCTGCATCTATTCTGTCAACCCCTGTGGTAATTTTGTATGCTTCAGTGAGGTCACTTCATTCTTCTGATCTCCCAGTTTCCTCAATCTTTTCACATAAGATAACCCTGCATGCCAGAAAACATTCTGGTGAGCCTTCGTCGCACTCACTCAGTGGGAAGTATTTGCTTCCTTAGATAAGGAGACTAAAACTGACCATAAATGTTTAGATGAAGTGTAATACTGCTTGTTTTAGAAGCCTATGGTAGAAGTGAAAACAATTGTGAGAATAGAATCTAATCAGAGATGCAAGAAGGGTTTTATCGTGCATCTGTACCTGTCTATTGTTAGTTGCTCTCAGATAAAGTTGATATTTGAATAATGGAAGAGATCAATTTACTTGCGTATTTTCTTCTTGTGGAGGTTTAAGAATTATAGGTTTGGGCAGAGGGATGTAAGTGAACAATTAAAATACAGTTTTCCTAAAACAGAGCCTGAAAATCTTTCTTTTCTCTTTAGAAAAGCCCCCTGCGCCTTCCCGTGTGCAGTTGGTAAGAGCTAGCACAAATTCACTCGAAGTATGTTGGGGTGCGGTTCCTACAGCAGATGCCTATCTTCTTCAGCTGCAAAAGTATGATATACCACCATCAGCCACCACCACCACCACAACTACCATGGCAACTCCATCTTTGAGCAACACTACTCTACCACAGAAGACTTCATGCAGCCCTGTTTCTCCTACGCCTGCTATTTCTGCTGCACCTCTCCCTGTTTCTAAAGTCACTTCTCCCACTAGTGTGCTGATCCCTGGAATGACCAGTAAGCCACAGTATTTTTAGCAATTCTAATTGTCATCATATGAAACCTTTGTTCGCCTGTTTGTTATCTGTCATTTGTGTAAGAATTTATTTGTAAGGGCTCATAGATTAAAATGCTACTGGAATGTAACCTCTTAATGCATTTTACTTGGAGCAAGGTAGGTTTTACTGTGATGGATTTTGAAAGCACTTTTTAAAAAAAAAAAAGTATTAGATTGTTGTTTTTTGACTAATGTTCCTATTTCAAGTTGTATGCAAGTTTTGTAAATTTCTTAGCTGAAGAAAGGCAGGTGATCAATCCTTTAACGATACCTAGCTACTATGAAGCATTCATTCACCGCTTGATTCAACTTGTTTTCTTGTTTGGTTCTATCTAATGTCCTCAACCCACCTCGTACTGACTGTTAGTTAAAGTAGCCAGACAGTGGTTATAAGTTAATTTTATTTACTTTTATTCATGGGCTGTAGGTGTCATTGAATATGCCAGACTTTATTGCTCATTTCTAATTACCCTTAAGAAGTTGGTGACAAACTGCCTTCTTGAAATGCTGCACCTTTAGGTGTAGGTACATACACAGCGCTTTAATGGAAGAATTTTGATCCTGTGACAGTGAAGGTATACACTGATACAGTTCTAAGTTATGATGGTGTGTAACTTGGAGTAGAACTTGTGGACATTCTTATTTATCTACAGCCCTTGACCTTTGAGGTAGTAGTGATCAGAAGTTTGGAAGTTGCTGTTGAAGGAGCCTGGGTGAATTGCTACAGTGCGTTTTATAGTTGGTACACACAGCTGGCACAGACGTGAAGAGAGTGAATGTTGAAGGTGTTAGATGGGGTGCTGGTTTGGTGGGTGAACTTGGATGTAGGCATTGCTGGCTGGCCAGCATTCACAGCCCACCCCTGGCTGCCTTTGAGAAGGTGATGGTGAGCTGCCTTCTTGAACTGCTACAGCCCATGTGTTGTAAGTAGACCCAAAATGCCGTAGCATATACCCATAGTGTCAATAGTGGAGGGAGTAGATGTTTGTGGATGTGGTGCCAATCAAACAGGCTGCTTCGACCTGAATGGCATCAAACTTCCTGAGTGGTGGTCGAGCTGCACCCATCCAGGCAAGTGGGAGTATTCTACCACATTCCTATCTTATACGTTGTAATAGCAGATAGGCTTTGGGAAGTCAGGAGGTGAGCTACTCGCTACAGTAGAGCCTGGCGGAACCCAAGCTGGGCGTCGCTGAGCAGGTACTGACAGTGTTGATGATACCTTCCATTACTTTACTGATGATCAAGAATAGACTGATGGGGCAGTAATTGGTTGGGTTGGATTTGGCCTGTTTTTGTGTACAGGATGTATCTGGAAATTTTCCACATCAGGTAGATGGCAGTGTTTGTAGCTGTACCAGAACAGCTTGGCTGGGAGTGGTGCAAGTTCTGGACATAAATATTCAGTACTGCTGCTGGAATGTTGTCAGGGCCCGTACACTTTGCAGTATCCTGTGCCTCTAACTGTTTCTTGAGATCGGGTGGAGTAAGTCAAATTGGCTGAAGACTGGGATCTGTGTTGCTGGGGACCACTGGAGGAGACTGAGATGCATCATTCACTTGGCACTTCAGTCTGAAGATTGCGAATGCTTCTGCCTTATCTTTTGTTTGGAGGACATGGCTATTTGTGGAGAAGCCCCCTGCAGTGAGATGTTTAATTGCTGACTCCCATTCATGACTGGATGTGGCAGGACTGCAGATCTTAGAACCAATCTGGTATCTCTCTCTCTGTTTCTGTTTGAGGGTGATAAAAATGATGCATTGCATTTTGGCTTTGTATTGTTGGAACCTTTGCAACTTTACCTCTGGTTTCATAGACGGGTACAGACTTTCAGTTGAGAATTTCTTGGTAATCCAGAACTGTGGGAACTAACTAGACATGTATTTTCTTTTGTAACTAAGAGTACAGCATAATGTTAATCAAAACGTTGCAAAGATGTTATTTACGTTTTTCTTCCAATATTTTTATTTATTATAGCCTGCTCTTAGTTCCAGTGCTGCAAACTACTTTTAAATTTAAGTTAGAAATGTGCAATTGTAACAACTGGATAGTTTATTAACTATTCTGTAGTTAATTTGTAGCATGTTTTCTTTAATTTGGGCCTGTTTTTAATTTGATATTGTATGATGTAAGTTAGAATGCCCACTCATACGGTGAAGATTATTCCAAATCAGAGCAAGCTCACTCTTCTCTGAAAGCAAAACATTTACCTTCTCTAATTTCACAATTGGAGCATTTGATTTCATTTAGAGAACTATTTTAGAACTTCAATCGATGATTTGTTTTTTGTTTTGTACAGTACTTTATGTAGTTTTATTTTATCCTGTAAAGGTGCTGTAACTACAATGCAAGTCTCTGCTGCTCCGGTGTCTGCAATGCCTTCAGCAGCAGCCCAGCTGGTCACAGTCTCCCAGCAAGCTGTGCAGACAGTAAAAGCTGCTGTTTCTTCCTTACCTGCTGGAGTTCGTCTTGTTGTTCCAGCTCAAAGCACCACTAATGCTGTACCCTCTGTAGTTAGTGTGAGTATTTGTTTTCCTACTCCTCTTATTTACCAGTGGAATTGTTATCTCATTTTAGTCATGAGACTTGCAGGAAGGAAATGCATGTGTTGTATATAGTGGAGCAATAACTCTCTTTGAGAGAAATTCTTTTATAATGGATGAAAAAAGACAAATTAGGTTGCGTGATCTCTCAAAAAGATGAAAATTTATTATCCTGCGATGTTCAAGTAATAAATGATTGCCCATTCATTGAAGGGAAGGGTAAACCACCACTATGAAAGCTTGACTTTCAGAAAATGAAAAGTTTACAATCAGCAGTTACTAATTTTTCTTTTGAGTACATAGATAATTTCTTCAGTCGTGTGGTCTCTTTGATTTTGTTTTAAAGTCTGGTAACTTAAAGTGACTGTGTCATACCTATTCCATTGGAGTTTTTGAGCTGCAGGATCTCCAGATGACTTGGCAAGAATGATGGATACAATAGGACTGTACTACTACTTAGCAACCTTCAAGGAGTCAGGAGCATAATTCTGACGTTTAGCCAGTAATCTGACCAATCCACTTGAGGTCAACATTGTGGAAGATGACCATAATTAGGAAAGCTTGGAGTTTAACTAAAGACTTGATTGCTTTTAGAAAGCTTTTCTAGGCTAGTAAATTTCCTAGAGCTGACAGTATAGGAAATCAAATGAAACACTACAATGACTAGGGCATAATAACATGTAATGTTGTTTGGGTGCAGCTGCTGATTCCCCACTTTAAGGCTACAAATTTGAATGCTGCAACAGATGAGAACAGTGCTGGAAAAAGAGTGATCCAAGGGGGATCTTGATTTTGGGAGTGGAGCTGGTCTAAATCGTATGTGTTTAAATCCCAGTCCCTGCAGGTGGAATTGGTGAGCAGATTCATTCTTGGAACTAGGAATATTGTTCCAGTATGAATTCTCTTTCAAACTGTTTGAGGAGTAACTCACCAACGAGTGATTTTCTACATAGAAACATGGAAAATAGGAGCAGGAGTAGGTTATTCGATCCTTTGAGGCTGCTTCTCCATTCGGTACGATCATGACTTTTCATCCAACACGGTATCCTGTTCCTGCTTTCCGATAACTCTTTCTAACCTGTCATTCTATTATGATGTACTTGGTCTCAGCTTTGTATAATTCGTGGCAATGTGGCACAACTTGAACTCAGTAGAATTAGAGACCGTAAATGTACATCAGCTTGTTTGTGGTTGTATTCGTTGGTGTATCATTGTAATGCAGCAGCATGTGAATATTGGTATTGAAATGGAAAATTGATGTTGTTTGAGTCCTAGAGGTTCCTGTAGTCATTACACTATACTTCCAGGTTTTGCTTGCACCCACTGATCTTCATGTTCTGATTGATTTTTGGATAGGAAGTTGAAAACCAGACATAGGAGCAAAAGGATTCTGTTAGATCATGGCTCAATTCAACCAAATCATGAGTGTGAAGTCTATTTTGACTCTTTTTACCAAAAGAATCTGCATGTTTCTGCATCTCTTACTTCTGGATAAGGGAAAATAATTACAGGAGAATAGAACTAATTTGGACGGCTTTACCAGATAGGTCGCTCTGACGTGATGGACCAAGTAATGTCCTTTTGTGTTATAACAGAACAATACAGCATAGGAAGAGACCCTTAGGCCACTATGCCATTCTAAACTAATCCCATCTGCCTGCACGTGCCTCATATCCATCTCTGTTCATGTATCTTTCTAAATGCCTTTTTAATGTTAGTATGGTATCTGCTTCTACCACCTCCCCTGGCAGTGCGTTCTGGGCACCTACCTCCCTGTGTTTTTAAAAAAAAAAAGCCTCACCGATTCAGCATGGATTTCTTAAAAGGAGATCTTGTTGGACTTCAGCACAGATATATTAAAGGGAGCTCCTGTCTGACTAATTGATTTTTATTGAAAAGTTGACTAGATAAATTGATGAGTTTAGTGCAGTTGATGTGGCCTATATGGATTTCAGTGACGCCTTTGACAAGGTCCCACGTGGAAGCCTGGTCAAAAAGGTAAGAGCCCATGGGATCCAAGGCAAGTTGGCAAACTGGATCCAAAATTTGCTTGCAAACAGCAGGCAAAGGGTGATGGTGGAGGGATATTTTTGTGATTGGAAGCCTGTGACCAGCTGTGTGCCACATGGATCAGTGCTGGGCCTGTTTTGTTATGTATGTTAACAACTGAGATGTGAATGTAGAATTAATGATTTTGCAGGTAACATGAGAATTGGTGGTGTTGTTGATTAGTGAGGATGCTGGTCTCAATATAGTCTAGTATTGATCAGCCGGTAAATTGGGAAGAGCAATGGCAAATGGGAGTTAATTCTGATGAGCGATGCACATTGGGAGGTCAAATAAAGGAAGGATTTGCACAACAAATGGTAGGTCCCTAGGGAATACTGAGGAACCAAGGGACTTTGGTGTACAAGTCCATAGATCATTGACAGTGTGAGCACAGTTAGACGGGAAGGTGGAGAAGGCGTGCAGCATGCATGGTTTCATTTGCTAAGACGTGGACTATAAGAGCAAGGAAGTCTCGTTACAACTTAATAAAACACTGGTTAGACCACAGCTGGAATACAGTGTGCAGTTCTTGTCACCGCACTATTAGAAGGACATGATTGCACTTGCAGAGGAGATTCACCAGGACATTGTCTGGGATAAAAAGTCTGTTATGCAGCAGGAGTGGATCAGCTGGGTTTGTTTTCCTTGGAGCAGTGGAGGCTGAGGGGAGACCTGATTGAGATATACAAAATTATGAGAGGCATAGACCGAGTAAATCATGAGAATATTTTCCCCATGGCAGATATGCCTAAAACCAGAGGGCTGAAGATTAAGGTGAGGAATAAGTGGTTTAGAGGAGATCTGAGGAATAGGTTTTTCTGCCTAGAGGATGATGGGAATGTAGACTGTGCTGCCTAAGAGGGTGATGGAGACAGGTACTGTGGCAACGTATAAGAAGTATTGGAATGAGCACTTCAAATGCTATGGGATAGAAGACTATGACCAACTGCAGATAAATGGGATTAGTGTAGTTTGATATTTGTTGGCAGGCACACAAGGTGGGCCAAAAGGCCTGCTTCTGTGCTGCATGACGATTACCCTAGGAATTCTCCTTTAAAGTTTCCCCCTCTCACCTTAAGCCTGTGCCCCATAGTATTTGATGTTTCCATCCTGGGAAATAGACTGACTAATACTCTATTGGTTGCCCATCAACTTCCAATACTTTAGCGAAACTAGTCCAAGTTTGTTCAACCACTCTTTATAACTAATACGTTCCAATCTGGGCACTATCCTGGTAAACCCCTCAAGCCTTCACATCCATACTATAACGTGGCAAACACAACTGTACATGCAGCTCCAAGTGTGGCCAAACTAAACTTTTATACAGCAGCAACATGACTTGCCAACTTTTGTCCTCAGTGCCTTGACCAATGAAAGCAGTCATGTCATACATCTGCTTTATCATATTACCCAATGGTTTTGCTAATTTCAGGGAGCTATGGACTTGGACCCCAAGATCCTTCTGCATGTTGATGCTCCTAAGGGATCTGCTATTTACTGTATCATTCTATGATTCTTAGAACAGACTAGTACAGTTTCCAATCAGCGCTTCCAGACTGATAATTTAGAAGTCACCATCTGTACTATGTTATCATGTGTCCAAAGACGTTGGCTAATTCTTTTTACTACAGCAACCAGACAATATATCCATCCCACTGTGCTCAAAGTTGAGGGTGGGAGGAGAGCTGCTATTGAGAGATGATCTGGTGATGATGGCCTCATTTGGTTGTGAAGTAATCATGTAGATTTGACAGCAGAGGAGAGAGAGTTGTCGGCTTGACTGTTGAAACTAAAGAGAGATCAAAGGAAATGAGGGTGGATGACACATTATTGTATCAGTCTTCAGCCTTTTGGTACAAAAACAGAAGTTGCTGGAAAAGCTCAGCAGGTCTGGCAGCATCTGTGAAGAAAAATTCAGAATTAATGTTTTGGGTCCAGTGACCCTTCCATAGAACAGTCTTTTGGTGCTGTGGGAAAGGCAGAAGACTGCTTGGAGGGAATTAAGCAGGTACCAGGAGAGCAAAGCACAGATTTGGGAGGCAAATGCATGTTAGAGGAGCATTTTGAGGAAAGGCATTTTACAATGAGATGATGATTTGAAAGGGCAAAAGGACGACAGTTAGGATTAAGTTGCATGATGACGACTTTGAAATTTAGTGAGACATTATTGGTAGTGATATGTAAATTGGGAGGCAGAAAGGGAAGTTGGATGTTTATTGAGAACGGGCCTAAGGAATCAGGAAAGTAAGTTTTTCTACTCTATTTATTGGCATGGAGTTATAGATCGAACAATTGAGATGTTTTGTTCCCATTTAGCAGGAATGTCCTCACTCCATCCTCCTTTTTCACAAACTTGCTTTGCTGCTTGTGTGTAAAGTCCTATGCCCTGAATGTTAGTGGGCTTTCTCACCAGATCTGGGGAGCCTTTACTTCGCAAACATGTACTGTAGTCTAGCTACAGATTAGAATCCAGCTGCAGCCATTTTCTTTCTCAGGGTGTATTACTTGTCAGAGTAAATGTCAGCCTAAGTGGTGAAAAATTTAACCATTCTAAGCTGAATCTCTCCATAACCGCAGGGAATTTGGTTACCCATGGTATATCCGTTTGTAAATTACCTAAATTTTAAAAGCTATCTTCAGTAAACTTTGGGTTTTTTTTTCCATTAATTTGTAATCCTGGTTGTATGTCCCAAAATGTCTTTTCAGGTATATTTTTCACTATTGTCAGTCAGACAGCGTGAAAGAATTGACTTGTGAAGTTGAGACAAGCACAGTCAGTTTTCCTTTTAATGTGAGTGAAAGATGCTTGCAGTGCCTAATTATGTATTAACTCTTCTTTGTAAATGATCATAATAAGCAGGTTTGTGGGAAAGGAGATCTAAAAATGCACCATTATTTTGCAATACTTGTGTGAAAGTGCCTTTATATTATGCAGGTGAACACACCGGCCACAACAATGCTGAAGACAGCAGCTGCACAAGTGGCAACGTCATCTGGCTCTCTGGGCCCAGCTTCATCCCGACCTATTATCACTGTACATAAATCGAGTGCATTGACTGTGGCTCAGCAGACTCAAGTTGTTACCACTGTCGTAGGCGGTGTCACCAAAACATTCACGCTTGTCAAAAGCCCAATTCAAGTTGGCGGTGGAGGCTCCTTGGTAATTAGTATTTAAGAATTACTTGACAGCTGTGCAGTATCAGATTTGTGCTAATGGTTTAATGAAGCCTATTTGACACTCATTTGATTCTCAACTTAGTGCTTGGGTAGTAAACTGACATAATGGTTCAGTCACCCATGAAAGCATTGGAATTGCCAGTTTTACATGTGAATGCCAAATTAAAATTATAGTCTTGAAGACCTGAAAATGCATGACCTGCTTCTCATTTCAAAAAGGAAGCTACCTGCATAGTGCAGTGGTACATTGGTAACAGAGAGCTGGTGGAATGGGAGTTAATTCCAGATACCCAAAACAGAATTGGAGAAAAGGGCTTGTCTGTATGCTTTTGAGAAAAATAACTCCCGTTTTCTTTGGGAATCCAGATCTTGACCACAGCCCAGACTAAGGAGGCTGGTTTGTACCTGCATCCAGCATAATATTTGAATCCTTGTAAACCAGAGGCATAGAAGCCTTCGGTTTTGGCCATGCTTTTGCACCAACATTTCTCGTTCAGTTTTGCAATTAACCAGTCTGGGCTCCTAATGCCTTGCAACAAAGTGGTGTGCCACCTGATATTTCCCACAACGAGTTCTTGATAGCAGCTATGTCCTTGGAGCAACACTAAGTGGAGAGGAGGGAAAATTCATGGAAGAATTAACTTTGTAGGTTTAAAATCTGAAATTGCTGGAAAAATTCAGCAAGTCTGTAGAGGGAAGATAGAGTTAACCATGTTTGGAACCCAGAGTTCTGAAGAAGGGTCACTGGACCCGAAAGGTGAACTCTTTCTCTCCACAGATGCTGCCTGACCTGCTGAGTTTTTCCAGCAGTTTCTGATTCCCAGCATCCATAGTTCTTTGGGTTTTTCTTTAAACTTTGTAGGTTGTTCACTTCCACTTGAGTTTGTTAGAATGACAAAAACTGAGGCCTCAGGATTAGGCCTCTGTCATCTTGTTAATTGATGCATAGTATGATGAAACTTGGAGAGAATATTTGTAACTGGGCAATCGTGCTTTCATTTATCCTGATTTTTGCCTAATGTTAAGATGAGTTATTTTTACTGAGGCAAGAATATTTCTATAGCAAGAACAATTTTTTTGCTAAGATTGAGGTTACTAATTACCTGGATAAAGCAAAGTCAACTTTTCTAACTGTTGCCGCCTTGCTTTGCTAGATTGCATAAAAATTAACATTAGCTTCAACCAATAAAGAAACTGATGTGTGAACATACAGTAAATTTTAAGAAAAAACTTGCATGCCTAACTTTTTTCTTGTATGTTGGTCTGGGTCTAGTAAGCTTTCTTTGTTTCTACAAAAATTGTATGTCTGTATTAAAACACAATTTTGAGAATTTTGTTATCAGTTGTAGATTATTTAGCATGATATGCATATTATGGCATTCTTTGTCCTACTTCTTGGAATTTCTTTCTTTCTCATTCTCTCATTTAAAAAGCTCATTGTCCATTCCTTTATTCCTTTTATTTGTTTAAATCTAACTCTGTTGGGCATTATGATTTATTTTCTGTCTTAAAGGCTTTACGGACGTTGTGACTATATGTATTCAGCTGAAATTTGTTGTGTTTAGATCTCCAATCTGGGGAAAATGATGACTCTTGTTCAGACAGCTCCTGTACAAACTGGTGCTCCAATCACAGGCCAGGCCACTGCTGGGTCTTTGGCACAGTTCATCCAGGTATGTGTGTTAGATTTTGTCATTGTGACCTAGAAATGCCTGTGGCTAATAGTAAATCAACTAACTGCATATTTAGCAGTTCTAATATCCCTGAAGTAGCAGAAGGAAGAATGCCAAGAGATAATGTTAATTTATCTGTGAAACTGCCCACAGTGACTTCCAACATAATCTGTTTTTATGTTTTACACAAAGTTTATGGATCTGTAACTTAATGTTGCATAACATGTACAATTCTGCATACACATGTGACAATAGGATGTTACATATTTCTTTTAGCATCTGCCATTGTTAATTAGTTGGTCAGCAATTCCCATTTCGTTTTGTTAAATCAAACATCATTATACTGGTGAAGTCGATGCCTCGATGTGACTCTGAAGTCTTTCCAAACCACTTACCATGTTCACTATAAAAATAGCACATTAGCAATTTATTTTTCATAGATATATATTCTTTTAGTAGTTCACAGTTCTTCTATGCCTTTGTGATATTATTCCTCATGGCTAATATTTACTGGCATGTTCCTTTAAATTTGAAAGATCAGGCGGTATAGTCTGTACACAGACCTTTCCGTGCTGCACCGTCCTTCAGCAAATACTTTGCATAGTGGAGCAGTTTAATTTAATTCTATTTTTCTTTATTACCCCAAGATTAAGCACTGTATGATAACAGAGCACTGCAGCAAGCCTTTGAAGATGAAGCAGCAAGACCTGTATTGTGTACATAGTCAAATTCAAATATAGTTCAGGCCGAGTATTCTAAAGTGTGACTGGGACACTTGAACCGTAATTAGGCTGAACTTGATGTGTACTCTTAAGTGGGTTCCTAGGAAGGGTCTTGTGCTACTTTCTATCGGGCTACATGACAGCAAGGTGAAGGTTTGATGAATTTGATCAATTAGAGTTAATGTACTATTGGGCATTTTATAAGCTTGTTTTACATATTTGAAGCATTTTGATAGAGCTCTCTCTGGCTGATTACATCTCCCATCACCAACTAGGGAACTAAAAGCATTACTTACACTTATCACTGGGCAAAGTATTATATAGTGAGGTTCAAAGACTGCACTGTTTTTTATGTTGTTGCACCAGTCTCATAATGGCAGTTTAGGTTACATAATAGTGTTAAAATGATTTCCTTACAAACCATAACCCCATCTTCTTAACTTATGATATTGTCAAATGGATCTTCAGATACTTACTAATTACTGTGAATGTATCAAATCCGGATAATATTTAATCAACTGCAATGATTACATTGGAATAAACGAGCGAGAGAATCATGCTTCAGCTAAGCAACATATCCTGATCTTGCACCCAAGCTTATTGTGTTTTAGCACTGTGCCATTTTCCAACATGAATAAATCTGTAACAATTGTACTTAATTTCTGAATCTGTTTTAAAACATTTTATTGAGGTTCACTTAGTAGACAATCATTTTAAAGTAGGACCAATATCAATAGCAATTAGATTTTTATTTTGCCCCTTCCACAAATAGTTAGATTCCTTCATAAGTACATGTAGAGTCAGGAAATAGAGCACAAGCATTTATGTAAATATGGGAAAAATGTTTAAAACATTGTGTCAAACTGAGCTAGCTTGTAGAGCAATCAATCCAGTAAGAATAAATTTGGCGTGAGGAATGTGTTCATTAAATTTGTGTACATATGTGGATTCAATGGTATAATAATTTTATTCTGTGGCGCATTACTTCTGAGTGCTCTGTCCTGTTGCCTGCCTACCTAGTGTGTGTTTGTTTAATAGACATGCTTTGAAATACTGCATGTTTCTGTATTAGCATTAGCACAAATTAATTCTAGAAACTCATAGTTGATCATCTCTGTTTATGAACTAATCTGCATTTTTATTGCAAGAGCCATATTATAAATGTTATATTTGTTAAATGTGCATGTCTAAGTGTTGTAAAATAATTAAATAATTTCTTCTGGCGCACGTCTTTCGTGGCTCTTATTGTTTCTATCTTGATGCATATTTCAATTTGGTTTCAATCCAAAGGCAAAGGGTCCGTTTCCTCCAGGGACTATCGTGAGACTTGTAACAGCAGCAGATGGTAAGCCAGCAACAATAATCACAACTTCACAAGCTGGTGGAATAGGTACAAAGCAAACGATTCTGGGTCTTAGCAGCGTCTCACCAGCCAGCAGTAAACCTGGAGCAACCACCATCATCAAGACCATCCCTGTTTCAGCACTGATGGCTCAACCCAATGTTACAGGTACACAATGGAAATTTCTAGGTTTCCAACTTAAATCTCATGAATGTTTGTCTATTTCTCGTCAGCTGGAGGCATTTTTTAAAACCAGTTCTGCGTACATTCGTTCGTCAAGCACAGAAAAAATTTAGTTAGTAGTGACTTTTAAACTTGCTACCTCCTATCTACTTGTCAAAATTTCATATTGAAAGACAATATTAAAAGTCAGTGTAAAAATGAAAATTACTTTTCATGGTATTTTTAAGTGTTGACAGAAGTTAATTGTAACAATTCTACTGAGGAAAATCTCCCCTCCCCCTACCGCATCCCAAAACCAGCCCAGCTTGTCCCCACCTCCCTAACCTGTCCTTCCTCCCACCTATCCCCTCCTCCCACCTCAAGCCTCACCCCCATCTCCTACCTACTAGCCTCATCCCACCCCCTTGACCTGTCCATCCTCCCTGGACTGACCTATCTCCTCCCTAACTCCCCACCTACACTGACCTTTACTGGCTCCATCCCCGCTTCTTTGACCTGTCTGTCTCCTCTCCACCTATCCTCTCCTCTATCCATCTTCTATCCGCCTCCCCCTCTCTCCCTATTTATTTCAGAACCCCCTTCCCCCCCCCCCCATTTGTGAAGAAGGGTCTAGGCCTGAAACGTCAGCTTTCCTGCTCCTCTGATGCAGCTTGGCCTGCTGTGTTCATCCAGCTCTGCACCTTGTTATCTCAGATTCTCCAGCATCTGCAGTTCCTACTATCTCTACTCGGGAAGCATTTTGGTTTTGTTTGGAGTCTTGGGGTCATTATGGCACTGGAAGAGGCCATTCAGCCCATTTGTGTTACACTACAGATCTCACCTTCTCAAACATGAAACTTGTAAAATCGCATCCTTGCTGAATTTAGGAATATTAGTTTGATATAAACCTTGTGTGTTTTGTGAAAGGCGTTGGGTGAACTAGGTAAAGGAACTACATACTTCAGTTTTTACTCTTCACCTAATATATGGGGACATTATTTTGTTGTATCATTCCCATACCAGCACGTGTTCTTCAATATTTTTAACATAATTTGCATCCATTGGGTTGGAGTTGAACAATAATAAAGCTTTTATGCTATTTGGTATATTTAATGGTCTGTGTGATGAAAGGTGTAATTTGTATTATTTTTAAGAGTTTGCATTTCAAAGTAATGGCATATAGATGTTGGTTACTTTTATGAAGGGTTTTGTTTGAAATAAAATCCATGTTAAGTCCTTGTGAAACAGTGACCTTACACAAAGGTTGCTCATAAAGCAAGTGCTATTCCCTTGTTAATAGTCTATCGTGCATGTACCAACCCCAAATGGACTGCAAAAACAGAAATTGCTGGAAATGCTCAGCAGATCTGACAGCATCTGTGGACAGAAATCAGAGTTAAAGCTTTGGGTCCAGTGACACTCACTCAGAACTGTGGAAGTGCTGAGGAAGGACTCAGCACTTGGACTGCAGCAGTTCAAGAAGACAGCTCGCCTCTACTGTCTCAAGAGCAACAAGGGATAGATAATAAATGCTAGGCCAGCCACGGATGCTCAGTTTCCCATGAATTAATTTAACAAAGTGACTGGAAGTCTTGGAGTGGTATTGGAAAAACCAAAAGACCATAAAGTATAGGAACTGAATTATGTCATTCAGCCCATCGAGTCTGATCTGCTATTCGATCATGGCTGATAAGTTTCTCAACCCAATTCTCTTGCCTTCTTCCTGTATCCCTTGATCCCCTCACTTATCAAGAACCTATCTATCTCAGTCTTAAAAATGCTCAATGGCTTGGTCTCCACGGCCCTCTGCAGCAGAGTTCCACAGATTCACCTCTGGCTGAAGAAATTCCTCCTCATCTCAGTTCAAAAGGGTCATCCCTTCACCCTGAGTCTGCCCACTGGCGCTAGTCTCTCCTACTAATGGAAATAACTTCTCCATGTCCACTCTATCCAGGCCCCTCAGTATTCTGTAAGTTTCAGTCAGATCCTCCTGAACTCCAAGTACAAACCCAGAGTCCTCAACCGCTCCTCATGATAAGCCTTTGTCCCTGAGATCATTCTTGTAAACCTCCTCTGGACCCTTCCAGCACCAGCACCAGCACATCTCTCCTTAGATGTGGGGCCCAAAACTGGTCATAATATTACAAATGTGGTCTGTCCCAGAGCCTTGGACAGCCTCAGCAGCGTAGCCCTCTTGAAATGAATGCCAACATTGCTTTTGCCTTCCTAACCGCCAACTGAACCGGCATGTTAACCTTGAGAGCATCCTGAACTAGTGTTCCCAAGAACTTGCATGTTTCAGATTTCCGAAGCCTTTCCTCTCTTAGAAAATAGTCTATGCCTCTATTCTTCCTACCAAAATGTGCAACCTTACACTTACCCCACTGTCTTCCATCTGCCACTTCCTTGCTCATTCTTCAACCCTGTCCAACCTCTTCTGCAGCCTCCCCACTTCCTCAACACTGCATGTCACCTCACCTCTCTTTTGTGTCTCATGCAAACTAAGCAACAAAGTCTTCAGTTCCTTTGTCCAGATTGTTAATGTATGATAAAAATAGTTGTGGATCCAACACCGACTCCTGCAAAGCTCCAGTAGTCACTGGCTGCCATCCTGAAAAATATGCCTTTATCCCAACTCTTTGCCTTTTCCAGTCGGCCAGTTCTCTATCCATGCCAGTACCGTGCCCCTAACACCATGGGCTCTTAGCTTATTTAGCAGCCTCCTGTGCAGCACCTTGTCACAGGCCTTCTGGAAATCCAGACATATCATGTCCAGACATGATCACTGGCTCTTATTCATCTAACTTGCATGTTACCTCCTCGAAGAATCCTAACAAATTTGTCAGGCGTGACCACCTCTTGACAAAGCTGTGCTGATTCTCCCCTACTTTACCATTGACTTCCAAGTACTTTGCAATCTCATCTCTAATAATGAACTCCAAAATCTTACCAATGATTGAGGTCAGGCTAACCAGCCTGTAGTTTCCAGTCTTCTGCCTCCTTCCCTTCTTAACTAGGGGTGTTACGTTAACCATTTTCTAGTCCTCTGGAACCCACCCTCGTCTCCAGTGATTCCTGAAAGGTCACCATCAATGCCTTAACCAACTCGTCAACTATCATCGTCAGAACTCTGACATCTGGTCCGGGTGATTCATCCACCTTCAGACTTTTAAGCTTCCTCAGCACCTTCTTAGCGATGAACACGATGCTCACCCCTATCCTCGACTGTCTTGAAGTTCTGGTATGTTGCTGGTGTCCTTCTTCATGAAAACTGATGCAAGCTACCTATTCAGTTCCTCCGACATTCCTTTATTTCTCATTACTACTTCTCCAGCCTCATTTTCCAGCCGTCTAGTATCCACTCTTTATTCTGTCTTACGTTTTACATAGCTTAAGAAAAAATTGCAATTTTCTTAGACGTTACTAACTAACTTACTCTCATATTTCATCTCCTATGTGAAGAAAGGCATCTGAGTACAAAGGGGCCTTGATCAGATGGGCCAATGGGCTGAGGAATGGCAGATGGAGTTTAGTTTAAATAAATGTGAGGTGTTGCATTTTGGTAAGGCAAATCCGGGCAGGACTTGTACAATTAATGGTAAGGTCCTGGGGTGTGTTGCTGAACAAAGAGAGCTAGGGGTGTAGGTGCATTGTTTCTTGAAAGTGGAGTCGCAGGTAGACAGCATGGTGAAGAAGGCATTTGGCGCACTTGCCTTTGTTGGTCAGTGCATTGAGTATAGGAGTTGGGATGTCATGTTGCACCTATACAGGGCTTTGGTTTGGCCACTTTTTGAATACTACGTTCAATTCTGGTCTCACTGTGAAAGGAAAGATGTTGTGAAACTTGAAAGGCTTCATAAAAAATTTACAAGGGATGTTGCTGGGGTTGGAGAGTTTGAGTTACAGGAGAGGCTGAATAGGCTGCGGTTATTTTTTTTGCTGCAGCTTTGGAGACTGAGGTGTGACCTAAGATGTTTATAAAATCGTGAGGGGCATGGATAGAGTGAATAGCTGAGGTCTTTTTTCCGGGGCTGGGGGGTCCAAAACCAGAAGGCATAGGTTTAAGGTGAGAGGGGAAAGATTTAAAAGGGATCTAAGAGGCAACTTTTTCACACAGAGGATGGTAAGTATATGAATGAGCTGAATGAGAGGAAAGGTCAAAGAGGTTAGGACTGTTCGACTTGACGAGAGAAGGCTTAGAGAAGATTCAAAAGTTGTTTTCAAAGTCATAAGTAGTCTGTAGAGAGCAGATAGAGAGAAACTGTTCCCGTTCAAAAGGAACAAGAACGAGGTTTGAAGTGACCTGCAAAGGAAGCAAAATTTGAATTACTGTAAATTAATGGTGTTGGGAAATAGGTTGAACCCTTTATTTTGCTGTGTGTTTGAAGATATTTCTAAACTTTTTCCAATTCCTAAGTTTTTGTTTTTTTTTTTCTTTTTCTTTTCTGGAATAAACTTCTGTTCTTAAAGAAGCTGCAGCCTCATGTGACCATGTTTCAATGATTGACCACCACATTAACAAGGTTTTTTTTCTCAAAATCCATCAAACCAGATTTCATTCTGGATCTGATTTGTTCAGTTGTATCATCAGCTGGATCATAACAGCTGCAAAATAGTAGAAGATGTGTAAATAATTTCCTGAGAGGTGCACAAACTGTAGAGCAGTCGTAATTGGAGGCTTTAATCACCCTAATATTAAATTAAACAGTGATTTTATTAAGGACAGCAAAGCGTGGGCCTTCTGAAATGAGCTTACATGAATTTTCTTGGTAAGTCCCTTTCCTGCCCAATCATGAAGGTATTGCTGGACCCGAAAGGTTTTGTGGTTCATAGTTGTTATGCTTTTTCTATAAGATACTTATTGAACTGTTCAGACAATCAAAGCCCCTGATTTAGAAATGAATGTCTGAGATATTACATCTTGTCAAGTGGTTCATTGCCCTAATCCAGTTGGAATATTTAAAGGGGAATATAAATGGAGCCGAGACAGGTGAATGGAGTTGTATAGATCAGCCATTGATAACAACGCTTTTGAGTAGCTAAATGGCGTACTACTGTTTCAATTTTTTTCATAGTGAGTGAGCTGCTGTTACCTAGCAAGGTAATTCACTCTTGCAGCTTCTTGCCTTTGCTACTCCCCTCCTCTCAAACTATTTTGCAGAGGATGCCATTTGTTCCAGCTGCTGGACGGGACAACATAGGCCCAAAACATTTCAGGTGCAGAATTAAGTACAATTTGGTAATGTATAATATGAGAAAAAGATGATCTGAAAGAAAATGACTATCAAACTCCAGAGATTTAACTTTTCCTGGTATCACGTGACTGTCTTGATGTACTCAATGTAAAATTTTAGTTGTAGGTCTATTTGTATAAATACAAGGAACTTGTTGAGCTGGTCGCATACATGTGGAGTACTATGTAAATGAACAACAGATGTTTTCAGTCAAGGTGGACCCAAAACGTCAGATTTCCTGCTCTGATGCTACTTGGCCTGCTGTGTTCATTCAGCTCTACACCTTGTTACCTCAGATGTTTTCAGTCAATGTTTTCGAAGAGCCAAAAATAGTAAAAGAAGTTCTCCTGTTACTTTTTTTTCCCATTCATGCGATGTGTTCATCACAGGCTAGGCCAGCATTTATTGCCCATCTCTAGTTTCTCTTGAGGAAGTGGTGTAAGCTGCTTCCTTGAACTTCTACAGTCTGTTTGGTGTAGGTACACCCACAATGCCATGAAGGGAAAAGTTGCAGGATTTTAACACAACAGCACTGAAGGAACAGGGGTTAAATTTTCAAGTCAGGATGGTGACTGAGGAGGCACTGTTACCTCTGAGGCCATGTAGGCTGATCACGTTCTGATACACATAAGCTTCTGCCATGCACAGACCTCAGAAATATGCTCGGCAGAAAAAAATGTTACAGGGAATGTTCCTTGGAGGAGAACTTGCAGGCAATGTTCCCTTTAAGCTGCGTGGTTATATGCATGCAGTTGCTCTGATGTTCTGTGCACGGCGATCGATGTCCTGTGCAGCAGAAAGAAAATTAGAGGAAACACTGCTTTTAGGTGACAACAAGGTGGAGGGCTGGATGAACACAGCAGGCCAAGCAGCATGATGCTGCTTGGCCTGCTGTGTTCATCCAGCCCTGCACCTTGTCTCGGATTCTCCAGCATCTGCAGTTCCTACTATCACTGCTTTTAGGTGGTAGTGTTCCCATCTATTTGCTGCCCTTGATTTCTAGATGGTAATGTTTTTGTGTAAAACTGGCATAAATCACTTGTATGCAAGTTTTCTCTCAACTAAACTCAAAAAACATTGCAACTCCATACCTGCATTGTACTTGAACTGAAATGGATTAAAAAATTTCAGACCAAGATTTGGCAATAGCACAGTTGCAACTGATATCTCAGGAAATACTCAATTTATTGTTGATATGTTTTTCTTTTAGCTTGTAACTTACGCCCTTTATTCTTGATAGATTAGAACTAGATACTGAATGTACTGGTAAGGTTGAGGCCGACGTCTTGCTAACTATTTTTTCACTATTTTTTTGACCAGCCAAAGTGCTAAAGGAAGGAATACTGTAAATTCAAATTTTAAACCTTGCATGTAAAAGAAAAAGTGAATGATTGAATGCCATTTACAAGTACAAAACAATGATTTATATATTTTTCTCCAGGTGTATCTGCATCCCCTGGTATAAAATCTCCAATAACAATCATTACAACAAAAGTAGTCACATCAGGAACTGGAGCTCCAGCAAAGATCATTACAGCTGTGCCAAAATTTACTACAGGGCAACCTGGAGTGACACAGGTAACTACTGTTTGTTTCAATCCTGAAGCAAAGTTAAAGTAATTTTAGTAAAGTAATGGAGAATAATCAGTCTCCTCCTTCCCATTCCTCCTCCATTGACACTTTGTAGCACTATTTCTTCCAGGTCCCACAAACGGAAGGCATACTTGGGATAATTTCATTCCAGGCTTCTATTTTGCATACACTTCTTGGCAACGATTGGAATTTGTTCTAACAAAATGAACGTATAAAAAGTGTACTGAATGGAAAGGCAATGGATAGATTCATCATGTGGGCTAATAGATACTGAATGCAACCATACCTTTTGCCTATGCAATGAAGACTGATGCTATGCTGTTATTGTTTGAAAAATTGAATTTTAATGTAGAAGAGTGATGTATAGCTTTAATTTGGAATTCTATTTCTACATTGTGTTTTAGGAAGTGGGGAGGACGTAGTTTTGTGTTTCATTTTTAAGTTTGTGTTTAGATGCCAGGAAGTCTTAGGTTTGTTTAAAATGTATACATGCATTTTTATTGCGGTTTTGCCACCTTGGCATAGACCTGTGAGTTAATAGTGCAATGTATTTTAAAAGATAGAGAAAATTAGGCTGTGATCAATGTCACTGAGATACAGAAGCACGCAGAAGATTAGTGAGTTAGTCTATGACTGTGGATTCTAGACACTACTACATGCCCCTCATGACCTTATAAAGCTCTGTAAGGTCACCCCTCAGCCTCCAACATTCCAAGCGGGGGAATAAAAACACCCAGCCTAATCAGCCTCTATCTATAACTTGAACCCTCCAGTCCTGGCAACATCCTTGTAAATCTTTCCTGCGCTCTCAAGCTTAACAATATTCTTCCTATTGAAGGGCAACCAGAATTGTACGCAGTATTCTATAAGTGGCCTCACCAATGTCCTGTACTTCAAATTAACCTAATCAGTAGAGATGAGTGTTGCTCTTGCAATTTTGTCACTTTTCTAGGTGGTTCTGAAAACTCCCGGAACACCTGGTACCATCCTGCGAACAGTTGGTGGGACTCCTGTCACAGTTAGTGGAGTCAGATTAGTTACTCCTGTCACTGTATCTTCAAGCAAGCCAACAGTCTCAACTTTGCTAGTAAAAGGAACAACAGGTATTACTTATAATTTGTACTTGTTTTGTATAGTTTGAGTCTAATTACAGTTTATAGTCAACTATACTTTATTTTTAGAAAACTATTATGCCTAAAAAAACTGCAAGTATATGATTGAAATCTCAATTCTGTCATAGCCTCCTAAATTGATATAATATTGGTTTGCTTTAAGAAAAAGATGGAATACATACCTTGTTGGATCATTATCCTGATTTTGGTTACAATTCATGTTTTACTAATTTGTTATGGCCTAGGATGTACCACCATAAATGAGCAAACCCTTTACACATTTGTCTGGAAACCACACGTGCCAATCAGCCCTCTCCTTATCCCAGTTCAGCAGTTGTCATTTGAATTATGAATTCTGCATGTTGTCTCATGAGTCACAAGGACTGGCAACTTCAGCCCAAGCTTCAATTTGTGCCAGTGATCATGTGTGATATGGCAAAGATACCTAGCTATATAATGTCAGAAGTGCGCATGAGAGCTGGAACTCAAATTGTGCTAAAACAAACTTTTACGATAGTGTTGTCCATCTGTTTTTTCCACCAGTTTCACTGAGATTCTAAGCTTTTTCTAATTTAATAGATTTTTGTCTTCGTCAGTAAACAGCTTCTAAATTAAATCTTTATATCAAGTATAGTGGCTACTCAACAGTGAATCTTGAATTGTTATTTGATGATACCTCTCTTGCAAAATGTGTTTGTAGATGTTTTCAAAATATATGAAAGATTCAGTAAGTAACCCTCAATCTGGTACTTTAAATCCCCTTATAGAGTTATTCAAAAGTTTTTGAAACTTGTTTCCAAAGAGATGCCTTGAAATAATACAGGATTAATAAGGTACCTTATATATTATCCAACCTTCCAAGATGCCGTTGAAATTCTGGAGTATGGCCAGTTCCATACTCTCTGGCACTGAACTTCACTGAACTTAAACAATGACTGGAGTTAGAAAAGGCACGTGGAAAATTTGTAAAATCCTTCTCTGGGCTGTTCTGTATACTTTGATCATCTGATTGTCCAGATCTAAATGGAGCTGGATTCTGTTGCAAACCAGATGCCGATCTTTGGGTAACAGGACAGGGAAGACGACTTGCTGTGTTGCTCACATCAACTGTACTCGGCTGACCTAATTTCTGCACATCTCTCCCCACTTCCCACACGCGCGCCTGCACACAACTGCGTTGCTTTGCAACAGCTGATGTCAGATAAAGGGCAGTGTTCTGCTGGCAAGGGTAATCTATTTTAATGCAAATTATTGTTGTTCTGAATTGTATGAATATTTAATGTTGGTGGACCTACACTCTAGCTGCACAATGTGAAGGAGGAAATATTTCCGTTTCTATTTACGCCACTTCAGTATTCGTATATGGGTGACTGCAACTGAAGTCCAGAATCGTGTAATTTGGAACAAAATAAGTTCTGTATAGCTTCAAGGTTTCTTAGCAAGCTTTTATTAGTTCTTGAAAGCTTGTTGTCATACATTACTATGCAGGTGTTACTACATTGGGTACTGTGACGGCTGCAGCAACCACAATTCATGCTGGAGCAACAGGTCTTGCATCATCAAACTTCACTACCCCAGTCACGGCTCTGGCGAGAATAACAACGCTGGCCACTCAAGCAATTAGCACAACTATTGATCCTTTGGCTGTGGCACCAACAACATTGAAGGTTACACCAGGAATTGTCTCAACGTCTTCTATAGTTAGCACTGAGGTGAGTGTTTTTCTGCGGGTTTGTCTTCTGTAATGTACTTCAATCTTACTCTTGTGTTTGCATCAGGTTATGACCACCCACCTTGCATCTCTGTATATAACACATACATATCCCTGCCATAATTTCCATTCTAATCACTCTGGTCTTTGGAGCAATGCCTTCATTTTCTTTTATTCCTCCTTTTGACAGCTGTGCATTAGCATTTGGTGCTATGCTTTGGCATTTCCTCTCTAAACCTCTACTCTCCACCCTGGTCGACTATTCAGTTCTTCCCTAAAACCCAGGTTTTTGATTGCCCTGGCTGTCATTATCTTCTAGGGTCAACATTTTTTATCTATGTTTTTGTGAAGCACTTGGACCACAAGATGTGGGAGTAGAAGTAGACCATCCAGCTGCTCTGCCATTCAAAGAAATCATGGCTGATGTAATGGTCCTCAACTCTACTTTCTTACCCCTTGATCCCCTTACTGATTAAAAATCTATCTGTCTCAGTGTTGAATACACTGGCGATCCAATCTCTATATATCCCAGTATGTAGTAAAGAATTTCACAGATCCATGGTCTTCTGAGACTTTTCTAGAATCTAAGGTTCCTTGGGAAGCTACTACCAGTGTATTCATTATCTCTGTAGCTACTTTCTTTAATTTGGTAAAAAGGAACCCATCAGATCCACGGACCTTACTAGCCTTTAGTCCCATTGCTTTCCATTTATTTTTGTCTCGTGATAATTATTGTTTTTATTTCTTCTCCTCATTTTGCCCCTTGATTTAGTATTTTTGAATTCTGATGTAAAGCATTTATTCAATTCAGCTGTCATTTCCTAGCTTCCCATTAGTATTTCCACAATACAGCCTTATTTTCTAAATGGCCTAACTTTGGCCTCTCTCTATTTTGATATTACTTGCTAGTTTGCCCTCCGTGCTTTCTCTTTTAATTTGATGCTCTCCTTAACTTCCTTGACTAACCATTGTTGGTCTATCAAGGGGATAGATAACATGTTGAAAAGATATATGATTGGGATGATAGTGGGGAAAGCAGGACATACAGAAGTGAAGAAAGTAGGGAGTGAAATAGAACCAGCAGAGTAATTGGAGAATGAATCCAAAATGGAAGATTAAAATGTTAATCCTCCAAAAATCAGATGGAAAAACGTGGAGATATTTAAAAGGTTAGGTAGTATTTTTTTTTTATCTTTTAGAAAGCTATCAAAGTGACACACGAAGGCCATCACAAAGTTATAGACTAATTTGTGAGAATAGACCAGAAAAAATGGTTTTAGCTGTTTGTGATGTTCATGTGAAGAATGTGTATTACCTATAAAGCAACACCCATACATATCTAATACTGTACAGGGACATCAGATCAGGTGAGGGAAGAGATTAAGTTTATGGAACATTAATTTATTGGACATTGTTATTATTGAACATTGTTATTAATGAACTGAATCATAGTTTGAGATCACTTTTTCATGATGGTGCTGAAACTAGATGGATCACGGATTCTGCATTGATTATTACAAAGTCAACTTGGTAATGAAAGCACGCTCAAATCCTATAACGAGACTGGAAGGCTATATCAAATGAATAGGGCATGCCTGAATTGTCAGAAAAAATAATTTGCCAAAGGGGTGTTGGAATGTTTTTTTTAACTAAGAGAGTTAAAGAAATACCAGCATTTGTAAGAATGGATGAACTTTTTATTGTTGCAAAATCATGCAGTTTGGACGGAAAAATGCACCAGCAATGTTTCAGCAGTTAACCAATAAAGTAATCGAAGAGCTGTGAACTTGCATTGTTTACATTGGGGATTTGGTTATTTTTAGCCAAACCAGGGAAGACACTTTACACCATTTGACTGAACAGTTTGACTCACCTGCAAAGAGCCAATTTGTTTATAAATTTGGCTGAGTGAATTTGCCAAGGCAAAGGTGGCTTATTTGGGCCATACTGTGGGACAAGACCAAGTAGCCCCTGGAGAAACAAAAGTACAGGCAATTTTGGATTTTCCCTATGCCTAGGACAAGATGTGAAATTTTGTGTTATGTTGGCACAAATGGATTCTATCGTGTTTGTTCCAAACTTGAGCATAGCCATTCCACCTGTGGAAAAAAGCAACAGATTTGATTGGACGCAAAAGTTTCAAAGTGTCTTTTAGCATTGGCATCAAGCGCTGAAGATCATGATTCAGGTATATTGCTAAGAATGTCCTAATGATTGGGATAAATCTGGGGTCTGACTTGTCCAATAATACCATCAATTGGGATCACAACGACTGGAGGATTTTTTTTATTCTGAGATCATTTTTAAAATCTACCTTATTATACATTACCAGATCCAAAGTAACCTGATCCCTGACAGTAGGAACTGCAGATGCTGGAAAATGTGAGATAACAAGATGTAGAGCTGGATGAACACAGCAAGCCAAGCAGCACCTTCTGATGAAGGGTCTAGGCCCGAAACATCAGCCTTCCTGCTCCTATGATGCTGCTTGGCCTGCTGTTTTCATCCAGCTCTACACCTTGTTATCTAACCTGATCCCTGCTTGGTCCTACAACATATTGTTCTAGGAAACCATCTTAATTACATGATGAATTTTACCTCATGGCTACTTCTACCAATTTGATTTGCTCAATCTACACAAAGATTAAAGTCACCCATAATTAATATACAATTTCTTGATTTATTCTCTTTTTCCCATAGTATAGTTACTGTTAGTAGACCCATGGAATACTTCCACTTGTATCTTCTACTGCATTGTATCTCTTACCTTCACCCGTATTGGATTCCACATCAGTACAGTGTAGACCCGAAACATCGATTTTCCTGCTTCTCTGATGCTGCCTGACCATCTGTGTTCCTGCAACTCCATACTGACTCCATCATCTGCGGTTCTTGCTGTGTCCTGGATTCTACATCTTCTGGTCCAAGATCATTTTTTGCTGTTGCGCTTATTCCACCTTGGGATGTTTTATTGTCTTTTGGAGGTGCAATATAAATGCCACTTAGCGCAGCAATTGGTATTGGTTCTCTGGCATGTTGACCCATTCCCTCCTCTTTAAGTTACAATTATTTTCTGCATTCTTCAACCAAAATCTTTGTGGCTGCTTGGACTGTGCTGCTCCCTCCACCCCCTCCTTTCAGCTTTTGAGAGCTTTCGCCATTACATTCGCTGTGCTTTGGAATTTTGCTCCTAAGCCGCCTTGCTTCAGTTCCTTCATTATCAAAAAAAGTGTCCTTGAGAGTATACTGACCTAGCTATGCCTTCAGTCATTTTCAACTTCAACTTCTCTCCTCCTTTCTGTCTGATTTCCCTTTATAACTCTTAGCCTGTTTTGTTAAGTACTGGTATATTTTATGTTACTTTTCTGGATGTGACTAATGAATACTGATTGCTAGAGTTGTCTTCAACACCAAAACTCATTATTCTGGTGAAAATGTGTTTTCAAAATGGTGAATTTGAAGTGCTGAATTGGTGCAAGATTTTAACACAAGTGGAAATTTACATTGGAAGTCCTTACGGGTTACAGATTGTTATGATTTTTTACATTGAAGAGTTATTCCTGAATGTTTACAGTACAATTCTGTTAATGGGCTCTTGCCATGTACGTTTTGTGTTTTGACAGCCTGTATTTGTGATATCAGGAGAAGCAGTGCCATCTCGTATAACTGGCTTGGTTGCACACACTAGTGAAACTCAGGTGCCAGTAGCTGCAGAACAAGGCACAACTGCAGTAACTGTTTCAGATAATAGTGTACAAACTTCAGATCAACAAATACAACAAGCAGCAGAAGAGCCAGCTCATGAAACTACAGAAACAAATACTACAAATACAGCTACCTCCAGTACAGCAAATATGTCTTTAAATCAAAGTGAGTAAACTAAACAACAGTGAAGCATCTAAAAGTGGCTCGCCTATTTTAAATTAGTTTTTTAAATATTGAAATAAAGTTTCAACTATTACAAGAAGCAATGGGTTAACAGAAAGCAAGCTCATTTTCTTACTGTTTGGCTTCAGGCTAATTTAGCTGTTAGAGATGTACTGGTAACAGCAAGTACACAGTTACTCTGGAGAAATGAGTGCGTAATTCACAATGTTGCAGATGGAAACAAATTCTGCCAGGATAGTTGTTACACTTGTACATTACAGATACAAAACATCTTTTATTAAGGAAAATATTCACTTAATGTTGATCCGTTCTGATTTTTGGCCTGAAAATTACAAGCATTTTCCTATTTCCAGCTCTTCTTACCAAACAACAGAAACACAGACTTAGATTTGACTGTTGGCCTTAATATGCTACAGTGAGAACATGAAAACATCAAGAAGGAACAGGAGTAGGCCATTCAGCCTTCAAAAGCCTGCATGCCTTTAGATCTTGGCTGATCTGCCCGGCCCTCAATTCCTGTTTCATGTCAGATTCGCATAACCCTCAACTCCTTGATATTTCAAAAATCTGTCTACCTCCTCTTTAGAGATGGTAGGAACTGCAGATGCTGGAGAATCTGAGATAACAAGGTGTAGAGCTGGATGAACACAGCAGGCCAAGCAGCATCAGAGGAGCAGGAAAGCTGACGTTTCGGGCCGAGACCCTCCTTCAGGAAGGGGGTTCTGAAATAATTAGGGAGAGAGGGGGAGGCGGATAGAAGATGGAGAGAGTGCTCTTTAACTACTTTGAGTCATCTAGCCTCTCCGGGTTTTAGAATTCCAGCAGAAGGTATTATATTGTGAAGCCATTTCTGTGCTTTAATACATGTTATCCCACATACGAAGTGTTCTGTCGTAAGAAACGTTTAAACGAAAATTACAATTTACATTTTTATATAAGATGTATTATAAATCAAAGATCATCTTGAGATGTTTTTGAGGAGGTATAATCAAAAAACTTAAATCCTAGGCAAAGGAGTGACCAAAACCACCACCAAAGATAGTGAATTGGAGGGTCAAAGGAGAAGAGGGAGGTGGAGAGATGGAGTGGTTTTAGGTAGTGAATTCTGAAGAATGATGTTTAAGTGTCTCAAAGTATAGTTACCGAAGGTGAGATAGGAGAGGGAATGCAAGAGGCCATAGTCAGAGGAAATATGTTAAAAGGGATATAGGGCAGGCAGTGGTCACAGTGATGAGGTGGGGAAAGACCATAAGGGAATTGAAATTCGAGCATGCTGTAGCTTAGGGGGACTGATGGACTGGGTGATAGTTTAGATCAGCAAGTACAAGTACAAGTACAAGTACAAGGACAGTGGGCTAGCAGAACTTAGTGCGAAGTAGAATATTGACATGCATATAAACGAGGACTTGGCTTTTTTTTTCTTGCATGGGCCTCCAAGATCCATGTGCATCCTTGACTTTGGGAATTTGATGTCAGCACTGCGAATGGCATTGAAATGCTGATCACCATGCACAAACCCTCGTGCGGGTTTATGCACCCTAGAGGGAAAGTTGGGAGTAGACTATTTGGCCCCTCAAACCAGGTCTACAATTCAGTAAGATTGCTTATAACCTCCAAACACACACTACCTCCCACCCACCACAGATAACTATTCCCCACTTGCTTAGGAAGTAAGTACCAAAGACTCATGACCCTTAGAAAAAAAAAATCACCTCATGTCTTAAATGGTAACCTCTTATTTTGAACCAGTGACCCCTGGTTCTTGATTCTTCCATGAGAGGAAATTGCCCCTCCACAACCAAGGTGTCAGGACCCATCAGGAACTTGTATGTTTTAATCAAGTCACCTCTTACTCTTATAAACTCCAGTGGATATAGCCCTATCCTGTAAAAACCTCAAAAGACAATCCACCTGTTCCATTTATCTGGAAAACCTTTTCTGAACTGCTTCCAACCCATTTACATCCATCCTTAAATAAGTGACCAATGCTGTACACCGTACTCCAGATGTGATGTCACTAGTGCCCCATATAACTGAAGCATAATCTTCCTACTTCTGTATACAGTTTACTACAGTTAACATTCTATTACCTTTCCTAATTACTTACTGTATCTGCATTTTAAACTTTTGCAATTCATGAAGTAAGACACTCAGGCACACCTGCATTTCCACAATTCTGCAATCTAGATAATATACTTCCTTTTTTCCTTACTGCCTCAATGGGCAATTTCACATTTTCACACATTGCACTCCACTTGCTACATCTTTGCCTTATCTTAACCTATTCATATCTTGTTGTGGCCTCCTTAGGTCCTCTTCACAGTTTAATTTCCTATATACCTTTGTGCCATCAGCAAATTTGCAGCAATGACTTCAGGCCGTTCATCCAAGCTATTTATGTAAATTGGAAATAGTTGTGGTCATACCATCCTTGTGGCACCTGACCTGTTACATCTTGCTAACCTGAAAAAGACCCATTTATATCTTCTCTCTGTTTTTGGTTGGCTAGCCAGTGTTCTGGCCATCCGTACATCATAAGCTTTTATTTTCCAAAGTAACCTTTGGTGTGGCACCTTATCAAATCCCTTCTGGAAATGAATTTAGGCTGCATGGTTTTGAAAAGTCAAGGATGGGATGCTGGCCAGGAGGGCATTGACATTGTTGAGTCTGTAGGTAGTATTCTGAGCCTAAAGGCTCTGACAGTACGTAGGATATTATGAGATATTGCATTATAGTCACAGTCGCAGAAAATGTCGTGTTAAGTCTGCCAGTGCCAAGTACTATCATTCAAGGTGAAAGGTGGTTCGTGTGGCAAACTTAACTATAATCACTGACTCTATTTACTTCTATCAATTATGCAGCTTAACTCCTAGAAAGATCATGTCTGCATTTTTATAAAAAAAATTGTATGTGAAAATCTTCTGTGATGCATTCAGGCACAGTTGAAGTGAGGAGTAATGAAAATGATACTGATGTGGTGTTTGGGGGCACTCTTGTAAGAAAGCAGTTGTACAGTACAAATTTATTCTGTATCATGTTTCCCAAGTTGAGTAAAGAACTTTGAATTCAATAGTATTACTGTGAACACAAAAATATAAAATTTAGCATGAACTTTCCAAAGTTATTTAGTCTTTTCAAGGAGCTGATTAATCACTATAAAATTTCATCCATGATCCAAGAAAATACAAAAGCAAAATTCAATGAGTTCTAACCCATCATTCTTGTCATGCCATACAGTGCATTTTTGCTCACCTATTGGGATATTTATACCACAGTTCAGCCACCAGATGTAAGTAACAACGGGATGCCAGAAAGTGTGCACGGAGAAACAGCAACTGCAGGAACAACCAATACAGCAACCACTGTTTCAGCAGCATGCACTGGAGCAGTGACCACTGTTACACAATCTACACCAACTCCAGGCCCTTCATTGCAGGTAAGAAAGTAAAAAAAATATTATTTATTGTGTGATGCGCCATTAAGCATTATTTTTAAGCTACCTTTCTTATACTGAACATACAAGAGGAAGTTTGGAGAGGCTGCACTGCCCAGAAACCTGGCTTGGTGTGAGAACCCAATCCCTTGATTTAAGAATTCCATTCAGCAGTACTCGATTTTGGGAGAGGATCTTTGCAAACTTAGCCCATGTGCAGCAAGACCTGGGCAACATCCAGGCTTGGACTGACACACGATCAGCAACATTTACCCCACATATCTATCAGGCAATGGTCATGTTGAAGTCAAGGGAATCCCACCATCTTTCTGTGATATTCACTGACAGTACCGTTACACCATAAGGAATAGAAGAAGGGAGAGGTCATTTGTTGCATTTGTGCTGCCATTCAGTTAGGTCATGCTGATCCGGTAATCCTTAATTCCACTTTCCTGCCTTAAAAAGTTAACCAGGTTTTCCATGGATAGATTTTAACTAAGTGCCTCAAGGGTGGGCCTGGTCCATTTAGAGCATCATTAAAATCAGGAGTAAATAGGAGGAAGTAGCAACAGTAAGAAGTAAATCAGAAATAAAGTGGCCCATTGGAGCTGGTTCTCAACCCAACCTTAATATCGGACAGACAAACAGAAAAGGGATGTCTGGTTTTCAAGGTGGGGAGAAGTGATCATAGATCATAGAATAGATCATTAGAATCCCTACAGTATGGAAACAGGCCATTTGGCCCAATGGGTCCACACTAACTCTCTGAACAGCATCCCACCCAGACCCATTTCCCCCTACCTACCCCTGTTACCCCCCATTCCCATGGCTAACCCACGCAGCCTGCACTATAGACAATTTAGCATGGCCAATCCATCTAACTTGCACACCTTTGGACTGTGGGAGGAAACTGGAGCAACCGGAGGAAACTCACGAATACATGGGGAGAATGCGCATACTCCACACAGACGGTCGCCAGAGGGTGGAATCAGACTGGGTACCTGGTGCTGTGAGACAGTAGTGCTAACCGCTGAACCACTGTGCTGCCCTTTTCCACTTTACTAGTGAAACATGTTTCTTCAATTAGCCTATTCTTGCTAAAATTAAATAGAGGTGATGTTTAAATGGTTTTGCTTTAACATTTTTTAACTTGGACCTTAACTGGAAGTTACTGTCAGTGATAGAAGTGGGCAAATACTTAGCACATTTAGGTCAATAATATGTGCATTTCACATTTTTAATAGCCTGTTCAAAACGTGTTTCTCAGCACCTCAGACTAATTATAATGTGATCTATATGCCTCTTGCAAGAATCTTAGTCATTGCCTCTAAAATCTTCCCTTTATCACTGTCACAAAATTTGAAATGTTTCCAGTTGTGTGGGTATGGCTGGTCTACAGTTTACATTTAATTCAAAGCTGCTTAATTCAAATTACCTGATCGTTCAATTTTTTGCACCTAATTCCAACTTAGCTGTGATATCTACTGTACATTATAAAAACCAGAGAAGAATGAACCAGCACAGAAGAATGTTATCTGTCCAGCTTTTCGGTAAAACTATACAATTAATCCCATCCCTCTGCTTTTGCCCTGTAGGCCTGCAAACCTATTCCCTTTCAATATTTAGCCAATTGTGTTTTTTATTTGCTATTGAAACTACTTTTAGGTAGTGCATCCTAAATAATAGCAACTCACTTTTTCTTCATGTCGTCTCTGATTTTTTTCTTTGGCAATTATATTAAATCTGTGCCCACGACCACAGGAAACAATTCCTTCTCCTTTACGCTGTTGGGGGGGAAAATACAAAAATTGTTGGGTAAAGAAAATTATTAGCTAACAGGAGTATTCTGTAATTTTTCTATCTTAAACACAGAACCTGGTGGAATGATGGATTGCTGGAGTATTAACTTTTCATGTTTCAATAAACAGGCTGCTTCAACAGCATCAGATGTTACTTCAAGCAGCAGTACATCTTTGTCAGATCTGAGTACATCACAGTTGGCACCTGTCGCAGAGACTGTTCAAAACCCAGGGTGTTCTGAGATTCAGCCTTCTTCCGAACAGACATTAAAGAACTTTGCTCAAGGAGCAATGCCACAGTTGGCTGAAAATCAGCCATCTGATCAGTCAGAGGCCTTCCAGGACCTCCAAGAGAAAATGGAAAGCGGTAAAGCACAGGAGCAGTTGAGTCAAAACTCAGAACAGCAGCACCAGCACCATGTCACTGCTACTGAGCCTTTAGTTGTTGAAACAAAACCAGCAGATAGTATTCAACACAAAACAACTGCTGGAGATGTCCCAGTACCCTCATTGCCAAAAGCCACAGGTAAGCATCATCTTTTTATTTTGCAAGTAATTTTTAAATAGGATTCAGGAATAAGTTGACATTCTTCCCAAAAGGGAAGAAGTAGCCATAGTCCTCCTTGCCTGAAAATAACATCTTCTGACAGCAGTGCAAGTTGTTATTTGTTGTCTAAGAGTTAGAATGCCTTTTGATATAGTATGTTTATATGTTCAAGTGACACAATTGATTAAGATTGATTTGTAACCATACATGAAAAGCCTAAACACCTTTTCTAAGCCTAATGGGAAATGTAGCCAATTTCATGTGCATGTAAGTATATGTTGCCAATTCAAAGAAAACCGAGCTTAAAATGTAACTTTGTGAAATGCAATGATCTTCGCAACGTAAATCAACAGCCTTAGGGTATTGAGGGAATAACTAGGCGACATCGTTCAGATTGTAGTGATTAAAAACATCCCAGAATTAATGGAACATGAAAGGGATATCTACAAAACATCTATGGATAAGGATGTAAGATGTAAATATTAAGATAGTCACTGACAAGTGAACTGCAAAAATACTGTCAAGAAATGAGAGAATTAGACGATAAACTGTTATTCTGGCTGTGTTTCAGAGATACCTAGGTAGACTTTAACTAAATATGTCTCCCGGCATATGCTTATAAAATAAATTGTACAATAACTGTACGTGAGATTTGTAGTGGGTCTTTTAAACCACTACAGCATTGAGACAGAGTATATTGCTCTTGGGTTAATGCTGCAAATTAGTGCAATAAGGTTAAAAGTTTCACTTTAACATACCTTTTTTAAAAAAAGTCTTTTAAAAAGCCTACATAGCAATCAAAAGTGAAGTCTGCAGCCTAGAGACAATATTAATGGCAATAACTTGTTTTTCACCAGTAAAGAATGCACATTAAATGCACATCTAGCTGATATGGTTATAAATTATCAATGAAACTATTAAACCTATCTGCATCTCATTTCTAAAGTAATCCAACTGCCGAGATAAGTTTGCATTCAGTACCTTGTTGAGTGTCAAGTTCAGAAGTCTTGTTATAAAGTGCACTCTCTGTGTTGGTTTACACCACCGGGTCGCCTCTCGATTTATAAAAGGATTTCATTGTATTTTGTAGAAGTTACTTACACCTTCTTTTCCAGAACGGGTTTTCGGAACTAATTGTTTTAATATTTTAGAATGCAGTACAATAAAGCCTCCCTCGGAAGATCTTGCTTCAGAACCAGGTGTGCCTAATGTAGATTCTTCTCAGCATTTGCAACATTGCCAGAACCTTATCAGTCAGACCCCAGAGCAGCCAGCACAACAAAAGGATCCACTGCAATCTCCAGTGCCTCTGAGTGCTCCTCCTCAAACAGCAGTGCTGAGTCCTAATGATACAAACATACAGAGTAGTCAGCAAGGCCAGGTCACAGAGGATCCCCACCAACCTACCACTTCAAGTATGTTCAACTGGCTGGAAACATTATGCTCTTTCTATTCATGTTTCCTCCATAGCATTTATAATTGTAAGCATGTGCATAGTGTGTTGTGCAGCTATTAAAAAAGGATTCCACTGGATGCAGCAAATCACTGTTGATCCAGTGGAAGCGTAGTTCTGTGAACATCTGCGAACTGTTAATTTTCAGTGTCAGGAAGAATCAGTTGGCAGGACCACTTTTGTAATGTGAAAATGATTCAAAACAAATATCAGGAATGCTAGAGAAACTCAACACATCTGGCGGAAACAGAATTAATGTTTTGAGTCCAGTACGTCAACTCCAGAATTGAAAGTTGCTGGAAAATTTTATTTGATAAATTTTTCACATGCAGAGAATGCATGTTGTAGCGGCCCAATGCAAAAGACAAAGAGGTTGTTAATGGTAATGAAAGACATAGGGATGCAAAATCGGTGGCATATTAAATTGTGAAAGAGCAAGAATGGGTCCTTTGCACTGAGATCAAAGTAAACAAGACAAGGATGTGGTGAGGGCTGGGGGAGGAGAAAATGAATGTAAGAAGAATGAGAGCAGACATCGCAGTCAGTTTCTGAAGTTATGGAATTCGCTATTGAGATACTGAGGTTGTCAAGTGCCCAAGTGAAAACTGAGGTGTTCTTTGAGTTTATGTTGTGCTTCATTGGAACAAGATAAATGTGAAGTGTTACATTTTGGTAAGGCAAATCAGGACAGGACTTATACACTTAATATTGAATCCTGGGGAATGTTGACAAACAAAGAAACCTTGGAGTGCAGATTCATAGTTCTTTGAAGGTGAAATCACAGGTCCAAAACTAGAGGGCATAGATTTAAGTTGAGAGGGGAAAAGATTTAAAAGGGACCCAAGGGGCAACTTTTCCACGCAGAGGGTGGTGCGCGTGTGGAATGAGCTGCCAGAGAAAGCTATGGAGACTGGTACGGTTACAAGATTTAAAAGGTATCTGGATGGATATATGAATAGGAAAGGTTTAGAGGGATATGGACCAAATGCTGGAAAATGGGACTTGATTAATTTAGAATATCCAGTCAGCATGGACAAGTTGAACCAACAGGTCTGTTTCTGTACTGTACATCTCTATGACTATGGCAGCAGGAGCAGGACAGAACTCTGTCAGTTTCGAATTGCTAGCACCAAAAATATTTTGCATTTAAAAATTGAAAAGTTAGTTCACTTGCTAGATATCCTAATCAGTTGGCCAGATGTTTTTAAAGTGTGGCTGAAGTTAGTATTGCACCTGATGAGAATCAGCTCAGTTGTCTAATAAGATGCAGAATGACACCGTTGCAAGGGGTTCAATCACCATACCAGTTGCAGTGGTTGAGAAAGGATTGTTTCCTCACCTTGCCTCATGTTTGGAGAGTAGTGACTATATGTTGTATATAAACAATTGTCTCTCTCCAGTGGAGAGAGATACCTGTGGTCCTTTGTGGGCAATTTCTAAATTGGCCATTACCTGTGATGTTAAACCAAAGCAGTGAGAGATTGCCTACTTAAAGGTGTTCCCCACCTCTTTGGCTGCCAGACCTAGATCTTCCTCTTGAAATATGCTAGTGCTTTTGTGTTTTTGGATAGAGAGATAATCATGTCATTGTTTTATAGTAAAATCAGAAAGTGCTGGCAAAACTTGAAACATAAAAAAACTTTTTCAAAGAACACTCATCTCTTGGACTCAAAATGTTAACTCTTCCTTTCTCCACATTTGCTGTCAGACCTGCTGAGTTTCTCCAACATTTTCTGGCTTTGTTTCAGATTTCCAGTGTAAAAATGTTTTGGTACTATCTAAACATTTTAAAATTAATTTTGTATCTTGGTGTGCCTTAGCGTTTGCATTGCAGTAAGATACATATAATGTAAAGTTGTGATTCCAATATCTTATTCAAGCATGTGATTTAAAAGTTAAGGTTGCAAGTCTTCAAATATGTTTTTGTCCACTATTTGGTGGTATTTAGAAGAATGAGATATATCCAGGATGTGTTTACTTGGGATAATTTTGATTTGTATAAATTATAGAGCAGTTTAATGTAATTTGATTTACTGTAGTTGTTTGTAGAGAATATTTTAATATGGTGGTTGTTGTCACACTAGACGTTTTTCTGCCAAGTCTATAAAAATGCATGAAATGCTGTACAAATATTCCTGAAGTCTGACTGTAATTTGAAAGCATCTAATTGAGTTCAATGTTTTTACATTGATTTCTTGTTCATGATATATGGAGTTGACCATGCAGGATCATATGCATGAGGACCTAAGGGTCAAAATACAGTAACATTAATAGATGCATCACTTTAAACATTTTCGTACGTTGTCAGTAATGTTGATAATTAAACACATAGTAAGATTGAATGAATTAACATCTACCATACAGAAAATAACTTCTTAAGTCTTCTGTTTCTAGGTCCTGCCAATTCACTTCTAGCACCCTCCTCCACAGCAGCTGTGTCACCAAATGAAGTCTCTAATAGTAATCCACTGGCAAATGGGGTAAATAAAGTTACTGTTATTAGTAGATAATGGTTTAGTAGGTTATCAATACAATAGATCTTACTGTGTCACTATAGAACAGTTAAAGATTCATATTCTCTCTGGATATTTAAATGTGAAGTAATAATACAATAGAATTAGAATTAGGTTTTACTGTCACGTGTACTCAAGTACAGAACTGAAAAGTTTACAATGGCACTTCTCATGGTGCATCTTAAGTACAAAGTATAGAACCAGTACTAGGCTATGACATGCTGTGATCTAATTTATGCTTGAGGACAAGCCAAAACTGAGCCAAGAGGTTAAAGAAAACCCCTTTGTAAGGCCATGTACCTGATCACTAGATCGAAGTTCTGCATTCATAAATATAAATAAAGTGTAATGGCTGTGGATGGTTTTCAAATTTCCTAGCAGTGGTTGGTTTCTAGTGATGCTTTCTTACTCTAAAACAGACATAAAACCTGAACAAGATTTCTTTCATTTTTCCAGAAACAAGAAAATTCTTGCGTGCAATTAAAGGTAATGCCAAAGAAAGAAGGCAATGCATGGTATGATGTTGGAATCATCAAAGGAACCAACTCTGTGGTAACTCACTATCACTTGCCACCAGAGGGCAGCCACGGAGAGGTGAGTGAGATTTAAATGGTGAATTTGAGAGTCAGCTCTGCTTCATGTTACTATCTGACCATAGTTTACAAAGGACAAGATTTTCTTTTATACTTGACTGGCTTTAGTTCTCTTTCTCTGAGCAAGTTCTGTACCATTTAGGACTTTTAGTTGGAGATAATTTGGCATTACCTGTTCTATATACCTTCCTGCCTCATTCCCTTCTGTCAACCAGGCATTCTAGCTATGGTAACAGCTGACACTGATTCCTGCCACTAATGTTAGAATTTATGAAGAAGTAGTCCCACCAGGAACAGATGACTAACCTTTTTTTATAAAACCAGTTCGTCAGATCTGTTGTCAATAAATATGGATTACCTTTCAAAGCTAGACTACTACTGTTGGCTGCTGTTTATTTTCCACATAACATCATAAATTTGAATGATGTTTTGTTTTGACACCGCCATTATATGTGTAGTGATTGTAATGAGGTCAGTCAGGTGTAGGTCATAAAATATGTCCCCTGATTGGAGCTGTTAATCTGGCCCAATCGGGGAGCCCTGGCTGTCAGATATAACAGGCGTGTGAGACATCCTTTTCACTTTGATAGCTGGCTCTGAGGGAGCTGGGTCAGTGTCAAGACTCTCCACATGTAAATCAAGGGTGATTTGGTGATGGGATACTGGCCTCTGGAGTTATTTCAGTACTGATAAGAGAAAAGTGTGCTCCTGAAGAAATTCACTCACAACAGTCGTTCTTTAAGCTGGGGTAAGTATTTCTGGCACCATGCTGTTATTTGGGAAGCTTGACTCATTTGATCCTGCCGTCAAAGACTGGGCCTAATATGTGGAACGAATGCATTCATTTTTCTAGGAAAATAATATTGGGACAGATGAAAAGCAATGAGTAATTCTCCTGATACCTTGTGGAGTTGCAGCTTTTTTGGTTACTTGGAGCCTAACTTTCCCTGAGGCATCAGATACTAAAATCCCTTGTGTTGACGGATTTAGTTAAGCAATATTATGACCCCAAGCTTCCCGAGATCCTGTCAGTTGTATTCTGCAATTTGAGAACCAGGGAATCTGTATTGGGATTTTTGACTAAGTTAAGAAGAATGGCAGAGGCAAGTGACTTTGGTTTAATCCGTAATGAGAGGCTGAGAGTCTGATTGGTATGTGGGGGAATTAATGATATGACCATTCAGAAGCACCCACTAGCTGAAGCCCAACTGGACTTCAAACAGGCACTACAACTGGCTTTATCATTTGTGGGGGGAAGGAGGTGAAACAGCTTCAGGAATACCATTGCCAGACACAAGAGTCCACGAAGCAAGAGAGCCAGTTTACTTCAAGGAAGGAAGTTTGGTGCAGGAACCACTGGAATGGCCTCACATAGGTAAGAGGCATGATCGACACGAGATCAGGCCAGGTGATGCACAAAGTTCAGGTAGGTGCAACGGTCCTGAACAAGCACATGGCATATATGAAAGCTGCAGACTTGCAAATGTTGTGAGCCCGTGGGTTCTCCCTCTTCGTCAAGCATTGAAGATACTTCAGAATTTGAGACGGACATGGCAGATGCTGCTGCCTCAAAACCTTTGCCACCTAAAGAGAATGAATTTCTGAGTTGCTCTGGGCACAAAGGCAAGCTACTGATTGTTACATACCACCCATATCCAGGCAGAGTTGAAGAAACCTGACCCAGTGCTAAGACGTCCCAGGAGGAGCTATTTTAAAAAAAAAAAACCTGTCCATGTCCTCAGACTCAGGGAGAGGGATGCAGTGATTGTAACGAGGTCAGCCAGGTGGACCTCATTGAATGAGTTCCCTGATTGGTGCTCTTAATCTGGTCCAATCGGGGAGCCCTGTCTGACAGATAAGAACAAGAGGGTTAAATATCCTGTTCACTCTGAGAGCTAGCTCTGAGGGAGCTAGATCAGTATGAAGGATTCTCCACGTGTAAATAATAGTGACTTAGTGATGGGATACCCGCCCCTGTGGAGTTATTGCAGTATGCATGAAAGAATTAAGAATTTATGATTTTAGGATGAATAAGACCACCTGGAGACCTAGGCTTTGGGGCAGCACAGGACTCGGTGGTTAGCAATACTGCTTCACAGCGCCAGGGACCCGGCTGGATTCCACCCTCAGACGCCTGTCTGTGTGGAGTTTGCACATTCTCCCCGTGTCTGTGTGGGTTTCTGCCGGGTGCTCTAGTTTCCTCCCACAGTCCAAAGATGTGCCGGCTAGGTGCAACAGCCTGCTAAATTGCCCTGTAGTGTTCAGGGATGTGTAGATTAGGTGGGTTACAGGGGGATTGGTCTGGGTGGGATACTCTGAGCGTCGGTATGGACTTGTTGGGCTGAAAGGCCTGTTTCCAGACTGTAGGGATTCAATGATTCTACAGATTCTATGAATTCATTCTAATAATTTCATATATAAGCACAGTAGGATGTCAAGTGCCAAATTTTTAAAAGAAGTGTTAAGTCTGTCTCACTACAACTGTCTGTTTATTCCTCCCTTCAGTCCTTCCTTTATTGGTTCCCTTTTCTTTAGGGTCTTACCTGTAATTCTCATCAGAGCTAGATAGTGCTCATTAATACAGTTATTTCTAGAACTGATTTAGAATAGTCACCATTGTAATGTAACAACATTTTGTACCCAATTCATACACGGTGAAGTCTCACAAATGTCAATGCAATAAAAGACTAAGACATTGGCTTTTGGCATTGGAGAATAAATGCTGGTCAGGATGCCAAAATATCTCCCCTTCCCTTTGTGTATTGCTGTGGAATCTTTCATGTTCACCTGAGGAAGTGTTGAGAACGGATTAACAGTTGAGCTGAAAGAAAATTACCTGTTAAGGCAACAATCCCTCAGTAATGCGGAGTGCCTTTGGAGTGATCTTGAACCCAGGAATGCCAGCTTGCAGGTGACAGTGCTGTTCATAGGTCATGGTTGACTCCTTCAACTCAAATAGATGTTTCAACTTGATTTTTTTTAGTAATTAAATGACTTTTCGAAAACCAGATTGAATGATAAAATAACTACTCCCAACTGGCATGAACCTTTGAAAAATATCAACTTCACAAAACAGAACTAAGCTTAAATATTCCTTTCTTTGTTTCAGGATGCTAGTGCTAATATCCCAGACTACAGTATGCTCAAAAAGCAAGAACTCCTGCCAGGCACCGCATACAAGTTCAGAGTTGCTGGAATCAATGCATGTGGAAGGGGTCCATTCAGTGAGATATGTGCATTCAAAACCTGTCTCCCTGGATTTCCTGGAGCTCCATCTGCTATAAAAATTACCAAGGTACAAAGTGGAATCAAAGACTGCAGTTTACCATAAACGTTTTTCCTCTGCATTTTAGAACAATTGTAATCTATTGAGCTTTGTAACCTTTTACTTGTAGAATCATTTTCACTTAAAACCAGTAACTTCTGGGAAAAGCAAGGCATTTTGTGAGAAACTTGAAATATATATTTTCAAATTAAGTCCAAGGGAAAAAATGGCAAGACCATAATGAAACTTAGTAAGAATGTGGTGCTTGGGTAGTGAGGAAGCAGTTATTGTAAAAGTTGTAGAGTCATACAGCATGAAAACAGACCCTTCGGTCCAACTCATCCGTGCTGACCAGACTTCCCAATCTGCTGCATGCATTTGCCAGCATTTGGCCCATATCCATCTCAACCCTTCCTATTCATATACTCATCCAAATGCATTTTAAATGTTGTAATTGTATCTGCCTCCACCACTTCCTCTGGCAGTTCGTTCCATACATGCATCACCCTCCGTGTGAAAAAGTTATTCCTTAGGTCCATTTAAAATTTTTCCCCTCTCACCTTAAACCTATGCCCCCTAGTTTTGGGCTCCCATACAGTAGGAAAAAGACTTTGGCTATTCACACTATCCAGGCCCTCATGATTTTATGAACCACTGTTAGGTGACCCTCCAGAGAAAAATGCCTCAACCTATTCAGCCTCTCCCTATAACTGAAGTCCTCCAGTCCTGGCAGCATTCTTGTAAATCTTTTCTGCACCCCCTCAAGTTTAATAACATCATTCCTACAGAAGGGTGAGCAGAATTGTATGCAGTATCATAAAAGCGGCCTCTTCAATGTCCTGTACAGCCACAAGATGACAATCCAACTCCTATACTTAATGTTCTGCCCAATGAAGGTAAGTGTGCCAAATGCCGCCTTCACCACCCTATCTTCCTGCAACTCCACTTTCAAATAACTATGTACCCGCAGCCCTCAGTCTGTTGATTCGGCAACACTCCCCACGGCCCTACCATTAACTGTATAAGTCCTACCCTGGTTTGTCTTAGCAAATTGCAACACCTCACATTTACCTAAATTGAACTCCATGTACCACTCTTTGCCTCATGTGATCAAGGTTCCGTTGTACTGCGAGATAATCTTCACTGTCCACTATACACTTATTTTGGTGTCATCTACAAACTTACTGACCGTACCTCCTATATTCACATCCAAATCATTTATATAAACGACGAAAAGCAGTGGATCCTTGTGGCACACTGCTGGTCACAGGCCATCAGTCTGTAAAACTACCCTCTACCACCGCCATCTATCTACTATCTTCAAGCCAATTCTGTATCCAGTTGGCTAGCTCCCCTTGGATCCCATGTGATCTAATCTTACTAACCAGTCTATCATGTGGAACCTTGCCAAACGCTTTGTAAGTTAACTTTTCAGCTGTAGATGCTGTGTCATGAAATGCCAAAGAAAAATGGTGATGAATGCACTGATTTCGATTTCTCAATGTTCCCCTTTTTAGAGTGTAGATGGTGCTCATCTTACCTGGGAACCACCTGCGACAACTGCTGGCAAAATTCTGGAGTACTCTGTTTATTTAGCAGTGCGCAGCATTCAGGTGACGGAATCAAAATCTGGAAGCCCAGCCCAGTTGGCCTTTATGCGGGTGTACTGTGGTGCGAAGCCATCTTGTGTGGTATCCTCATCACACCTAGCAAATGCACATATTGATTGTACAACGAAGCCTGCCATAATTTTTAGGATTGCAGCACGGAATGAGAAGGGATATGGACCAGCTACACAAGTTAGATGGCTTCAAGGTAATGAGCTTGAACTATTTAAGACACCTCTGCAGTGTGTTTTACTGACTTGTAAGATTCAAAATTCAAAACTTCTAAGAAAATGCGATAGATTGTTTGCCACTGTGAATATAACTTTGCTAATTGATATGGATATTTTAACACAGATGTGCTCTTTATATTTTAATTTACAAGCTGGCAAATTAGTACTAATAGAGCAGAAGGTCAGGGTAACAACAGAAGAGAAAGGGAAAGTTAGAAGGAATGTTTCCGCATTATTAAGCTTTACTGTAAGTACTTTGTTGAGGCAAAAAGTAAAATGGAACTTGATTTGAATATTAAAAAGAGGGAAGGCACTGGTCTGAGTCATATTGTCACTGGATTAGTAATCCTGAGCCTCGGGCTAACGATACAAAGGCAGGGAGTTCAAAACCACTCGCAGCAACTGGTGCCATTTAAACTCCATCAACAAATCTGGAATTGATATCTGTTCTCGGTAATGGTGAACACGGGACTGTCATTTGATTTAACATGGAAACATACATCATGTTCACTAATGCTCTTTAGGGTTTGCTGTCCATACCTGGTCTACTGTATATATGACTGAAGATGAAGATGTTAACTCGTAGTTGCCCTCTGAAATGACCCAGCAAGCCACACAGTTCAAGGATAATTAGGAATAGGCAACAATTGCTGGCTCGCCAGTGATGCCCAGCTCCCTTGAAACAATTTTTTTAATATAAAGGCTGTAAGGAATGAACAAAGAAATGGGATTTTTAAAAAAAAAGCTAACTCCAATTGTAAGATATCATACATGCACAGATACAGCAGGCCAACTGGCTTGACTTACAGATTGTATTAATTCTGAAATATATCAAACATAAATGTACAGCCATAGTACAATCTGTTTTTATACAGTACTGGGTGTAGGATGTCTGCTGCAAAATGTGTTGTGTAAATGTAAAATGTCCAATTATTATGTAATTGATTTCTGTAATCAAATTATTTTCATGTGCAGTATTACAAGTTTAAGTAAAATGTCTTGGAGTTTATGGTCATGAGCTGTTGTACAAAATCAACCTTGGTGTTAAATATTTAAATTAATATCACACTAGTTGTGGCCTGGATGAAAGGAGCTGTATGACTGATTACTGGTGATCAGACATGTGAATCTTTTTGTTTTTTTTTGTAAAACAAAAACCGTATACGTCATAAATGCTTCTTAAAGTTGCTTAATCATTTACAAATGGGTCTTTCCTGTAAGGTTCGAATCTCCACAAATCTCCTTTTAAATACAAGTGTGATTTGATTTGGCCACAAATATCTTCACAACTGATTCAGTGGTGGGAGGTTTCAGTTGACACTCAGGCAGATTGCTGGTCAACAAAACAGCCTTGCCCATGTTTCGTTGCACAATTAACTGCCTTTAAACTGTTTTACCCAACACTGATACAATTCCAAAGGATTGGAATAACACACCTGCTATACTTGGCCTTGCATCACTGTATACCCAACCACCCCTTTCCTCCCAGCTTGTCGCTAAAGTGCTATAAAATTGAACCCATACAAGTACGCAGGTTTATGCGCAGTAAAACAGGATGAAATTGAGCTATTCAATTTCCACCAAAACTCCAGTTGGGTCCATTGTAATAAAAATGAAGTAGACTTCTTACATCATTGTACACCAGTATCCCTTACTGTACAGAAAATGGTTGTCACAGGATGAAATAATCTAGAGGGTGGACCAATGATATGGAACCATGGGTTCAAATTCCCCATAGCAGGTGGGTATGTTAAATTCAGTTAATTAAATGAAGCTGCCAGATTGTTCCAAGAACCATCTGATTCCCCTAAGCAAAAAAAATCTGCCATTGTTGCGCAGTCTGGTCTACGTGTAACTCCAGACCCACTGTCTCAACTCTGATCTGAAATGACCACTTGATTGTATATAAGTGGGCTGTAAATATTAACCTTGCCAACAAAGTGCTCTGTCTGTTATTAATAAAGTTAAAAAAAACGTCCACCGTTATGTTGTTTTGATCTGAAAACGTACATAACTGTTTTCAGTTGTGCTTTGTAGTTTTGCAATTTAGAACCACTGTTCTGTCACATAGAGAATCACAGGTGAGTTTGTGATATCACAGCACTGCATATTAATGTGGATTATTCAAAGTTTGATCAGAGCCACCAAGTTGAGCTGTATAATTTGATGTTTTAATTGCACTAATTAAACTAGTTGAGTGAATTAGGAATGCATCTCAATTTATCAATGTTAAACTGTTTTTCTTTTTTGTACAAGTAACTTAGCTTATGGCATAAGTAACTTGTAGTACTTTCTGACAGTTTTGGAAATAATATAAAAATAATTGTTTATAATGTTTGAATTAGAAATTTTCTCATGGAAATTATTGGCCCAGGAAGTGCCTTATTGAATTAACAATTACAATGCTGAATGTAACATTCCTGCATGCGTTGCTGGAGATGCATGTGTACAGAGGAACTTTCACAATTTGGGGTCTTTATGTTCTTTAGACACAGGTGTACAAGGAGCCAAAGGCACTGCAAAACGGCCAACAACATCACCAGATAGGTAAGCGAGCTTCTGTGAGGAGATGATTTCCTTGGTATTGTTCTTATTGCATTATAAATAGATATGTGAATGAATAAAGACTTGGAATAACTGTTCTGAAAGTCATAAGGAGGGAAATTGCTCTGCACCAGTAGCAAGAAGTGACCTTATAATGAACTGATAATCCATTTGCAATGCTTGAGATTTTTCCTTTCCATTTGAGGTTAACACTAAAGAGAATTGGACACAGTTTGTAATCAGTTTCCAATTTGTTATCAATCAATCTTACATTAACTGTGCTGGTGTGAACTGTTTTTGCTCACAGAAGGCTTATTGGTCAGTGTTTTAACTGGAAGGTCATATGTTTTAGTTCCAGATTTGGGGTCACTGCTGTTTTAAAAAAATTGCATCCAGTTGTTCTGATGATCATGCCTGCTTTCCTTTCATGAGGCACTATTCTTTTACACCAGTCTTTTAAACGTTGCTCTCATATTAAACAGCACTTTTTTGACCTTGGAAAAAGATTTTTTGGCTCCAGGTATGATGTTCAAACAGTCAACAGATCACAGACATACAAGAATGAATTTGAAAGTTCAGTTTTATTTGTATGTTAGAGTCGTAGTCCCTTGTGATGCTGAATTCAGCAAACATACAAGTGCATGTCCTAACATACTGGTCCCCACACATACTCCACTCTCCTGATATCCTGGATCAAAATGTGTTCACCTCTGCACAAAGTGCCAACATTTCTACTGAGCTGAAGCCTCACTAAATATCTCAAACTTTGGAATCTGTACCACTCTCAAAATCTACCTTCGAGCAAAATAGCTTGAGTAGAATAGAGAAGTGCTGACAGAATTGCAACCGTGTAACTTCTGTCAATTGCAAAAACCCATCTGGTTCACTCATGTCCTTTAGGGAAAGAAATCTGCTGTCCTTACCCCATCTCGCCTATGTGTGACTTCAGACCCACAGCAATGTGGTTGGTTATTGCACTCTGGGCAATAAATGCTGGACTAGCCAGAGATGCCCACATCCCATGAAAATACTTTTGAGAAACATCTTGAATATGGCGAGGCAATGGCCTAGTGTTATTATTGCTAGACTGCTAATCCAGAGATGCAGATAATGTTCTGGGTACCCAGGTTCAAATCCTACCACAGTAGGTGGTGGAATTTGAATTCAATATAAATATGGAATTAAGGGTCTTGTGATGACCATAAGTCCATTGTTGACTGTCAGAAAAATCCATCTGGTTCACTAATGTCCTTTAGGTCAGAAATCACGACACCAGGTTATAGTCCAACAGGATTTTTGAAAACACAAGCTCTTAGAGCCTTGCTCTTTCTTCAGGTCTTAGAGAGGTGGTAGCAGACACAGAATTTATAAGTAAAAAATCAAAGGGTCACACCACTGATGAGGATGTACTAAAGAAATGTAAGATGCTATTAAATCTTTAATCAGTTAGAAGAAGGTTTCAGTTTATTAATAGGTATATGTAAATCCCTGAATTCCTTTCAAGCCACTGTCCTGAGAGAACTAAACGTTTTATTTTTGTAAAGAACAGGTAATGTTTTAAATGCTTGCATGGCCAGTGACACCGTCATCCCATGAATGAATAAAAAAAAATTAACTGGCATGGGACTAATATATTAGTTGTTCTGGTGTCTTTCAAAATTAGCACAAATGCACAGCTAATGTTGCAGTCTTGCCAGCCAAATTCTTCAAAGAAATGGAATGTGTGAGGCCCTTAGTGGAGTCATTTAAATGGGCCATCACTGGCATTCCTGCTCCATGCGCAGTAGTGATTTTCACGGAACCAGCAGATGAGGCTGTGACCGGCATTAGCATACTGTGCACAGGCACTTGGAGCAGCTGCACGCAGCCATGAGGGAATTTTGGCTTTCACCGGCATTTTAGATGAATGGAACTGCAGTAATTTTGCTGTAGATTTCCATGCTGAGGGGGTTTCTGTACATGATTCTCTCCTCAATCCCTCATTTGACTCAATTTGGGCAGAAGAAACGAGCGATTCTTATAACTCGTCTGTAACTGAGAAAAAATTAGGTGTCAAGCTGTTTTTTTTTCCATTGGTGTTAATTAAAACAGTAAGTAATAGGATTAGGCTGTTCGGCCCCCTAAACCTGCTCAGTAGGATCATGGCTAATATGACGTTTCTCACTGGCTTTCCTGCTATTTCCCTGTAACCCTTAATTCAAGAATCTATCCATCCCAGCCTTAAATATATACAAGGAATCAGCCCCCACTGCTCTCTATGGCAAGGAGTTCCAAAGACACTCAAACTCTGAGAGAAGTTGCTCCTCCTCATCTTAGTCCTGTTTGTTCGGAGTCTGTAAGAACATAAGAACTAGGAGCAGGAGTAGGCCATCTGGCCCCTTGAGCCTGCCCCACCATTTAATAAGATCATGGCTGATCTTTTTGAGACTGAGCTCAAACTTACCCGCCCACTCACCATAACCCTTAATTCCTTTACTGTTCAAAAATTTATCTAGCCTTGCCTTAAAAACATTCAGCGAGGTAGCTTCAACCACTTCACTGGGCAGGGAATTCCACAGATTCACAACCCTTTGGGTGAAGAAGTTCCTCCTGACCTCAGTCCTACATCTGCTTCCCTTCATTTTGAGGCGATGCCCTCTAGTCCTAGTTTCACTTGCTAGCGGAAATAACCTCCCTGCCTCCACTTCATCTATTCCCTTCGTAATCTTATATGTTTCTATGAGATCTCCCCTCATTCTTCTGAATTCTAGTGAATATAATGCCAGTCTACTCAGTCTCTCCTCATAATCCACCCCTCTCAACTCTGGAATCAACTGAGTGAGTCTCCTCTGCACCCCCTCCAGTGCTAGTATATCTCTTCTCAAGTAAGGAGACCAAAACTGCACACAGTACTCCAGGTGTGGCCTCACCAGGACCCTATACAGCTGCAGCATAGCCTCCCTGTTTTTAAACTCCATCCCTCGAGCAATGGCAGACAAAATTCCATTTGCCTTTTTAATTACCTGCTGCAGTTGCAATCCCACCTTCAGCGATTCTATGCCCTCTGGGAAGCATTGTCTAAGCGTTTACACTGTCAAGCCCCTTAAGAATGCTATATACTTCAATGAAATCACCTCTCATTCTTCCGGACTCCAGTGAGTGGAGCCCCAGCCTCCCTGACCTTTGCTCATAAGAGAATCCCTCCATAGTGAACTTTCTCTGAACTACATCTAATGAAATGGTGATAAATAATGGGAATGAAGCTGTTCTCAGAACTCCAGGTGTGGTCTAACCAATACTTTGAATGGTTGCAGTAAGATTTCCCTACTTTTGTACTCTAACCCGCTTGAAATAAGGGCCAACTTTCCATTAGCCTTCCTGATTATCTGCTGCTTCAAAGATGCATGATGGCAAATGGCATTGCTCAGAAGGAAGCCACTAGAAGGAGGAGAGAGGAGGTGTACTTGATGGAATATTATAACAAATGAAAGTTTTTAACACAGTGCCTTGTGTCATTGCAGCACTAAGAGTGGCGGTGCCAAGAAATCCAAGTCTGAATGATGAATAGAAGAAATTTTCTATTTGCCGAATGAAAGAAGTAAAGTACTGTCGGATAGTATTTGTATTTATTTTGTAAATGTTTTGTAATATGTTTCTGTTATACTCTTAATCCCTATAACTTGTGAGCTTCTTAGAGAAGGAATTTAATTTGTATTAATTGTACAAAGTACATTTCTTGTTTTAGAACTGTGACAATAGGCTTCAGGCAAGTTTTAAATGATAGCTTTTTAGAAACATAATGTAGATTTTAAATTTGTATTAACATTACTGTGTAGAGTTCATGTAGGTGGCTTGTTTCTAAAGTGGCTTATTCTGAAATCACTACAGTAGTGACTGGATGTTTGCTGTGCAAGCAGTGGTTTAAGAGTTTTCGAAGAAATGTTGGTGTTTCACCTTGTTGCAGGTGGATTAGGTAGGTCTTTAAAGCATGTTTATATGTGGATGAAGTTTGGGACCAAAAAAGGCACTACGGAGAAGCAGCTTCCTTCTCAGAGTAGCACTTACACAGATTCTGAATCACCATTAGAAACAAAAGTTATTAAACAACTTTTTTCTTTGTGTGTGTGTGTGTGTGTGTGTGTGTGTGACCAAATGGCATTTCTGTGCATGATTTGTGATGAAAAGTTTAAAACTGCTTTTTTTATTTTAAATTTTTATACAAATATAAAAATGAATGAAGATGTATTGGGTATATAGGAGTTGTATGACCCCACCGTTTACAAAAGACCCTATGAAACATCACTAAATTGGTTCATCATAATCATCAAGATTTACCGTGCGCACACGCATTCCCTCACAGAAGCTGCAGGGAAAATCTAGGATAGAGGTAATGATCACAGTCTTCCAGCAAACACTGTGACTGTAAAGTGGCACACGCAAAGCAGTTGCTTTAAATGCATTTTATTTCAATTGTATAGGTTAACTAAATTAAAGTTCCTTTTACAAAAGCCTCTTGTTTTGGTGAACACAGCTAATTGTGGGGTCATGCAACTTTAAGGATTCATAGCCCAATCATTTAATCAAACTGGGGTTGAAAATTAGTGCTTTAATACTGGCGAATTTCATCATAAAATTGTATAGCTCAGAAGACTACATTTGCTGTGGCTAACCAGTGGGTTTCTATTTATCATTGAACTCAATCATTTATAATTTCTTGCATTTTTCTTTTTATTTGCTTTTTTTTTGTTAACCCAGTTACCTGTTCACCAAGTTGTAGTGCAAAAGATGCAGAGAAATCCCGAGGTGAATTTTAGAAAGTGCACGCAACGATCTGCACAGAACATTTCTGTTAATCTCACACTAACAGTTTCAGCTTTAATGAGGTGCATTAGGAAGTATCAGTCCAGAGGAAAGATTTTTAGTAACATTGCTATTGTCTCTTTCGACAGATGTGTATAAAGCACTGCAGTAATCTTTAATTGGTAAGATGTGTTAAGCTTTTTTGCAGTAAATCCCTCTTTAAATAATTCTGTGCAGTTTAGTTTAATTAAAAGGATACACTTCCACCAATGGGTGGATCATTTGATGTATTTCCTCATGCCTTATGACTGGATATTCACTTTATACCTCTAACTCCATTAAAAACAAAAGTCTTTTTTTAATTTAAAGAAATGGAGACACTTTTTTAATAAACTGGGCTAGTTAAGCTTCTCAGCAGTGCCCTTTCAAGACAGGTATCTAATTTTCAGCGATAAAGTGTGACCTGAAGTAGGATTTGCTCAGAACTGTTCATGTTAGGTTTCGACTGTATTGAAAAATAAAGGAAAAAGTTGCTGAATCTGGATGTTAATCTCTCGACCGTATATACAACTACAACTATTCACGGTGACAAATGGTTTAGATTTTTAAAAGTATGTTAAAATATGTTTAATGTAGTCTACATTGAAACGACATACTTTTTATATTCTTGAAATATTGAAGATCTAATTGATGAACCACCCCTTAATAATTGTGTGTTCCAAAAATACTAGATCTTTGGCATTTTTCTGTTTCATTTCTATGCAACCAGAGTGTCTAGGTAGGCAACAATAGCCATTCTTTATTTTTGCCCAAAGTATATTTCTTATTTGGATCAGAATATTCTACTTTTAGTTTTGTTTGTCATTTTTATTGTTTTGTGCAAGACAGTGAATTTTAATCTGTTTCATTGTTTTAAAAACCGAATTATTAATGCAGACTGTACTTCTGTGCTTTAACAGAAACCATCCTTTCCTCCCATTTAATAAAAATTGGAGTAAACAACGGGGACATGTTTAACAGTATTAGGTAAAGAGTGAACTTTTGGCAGTCTGTTTTTCCTCAAAAACTGACTTGGATGATGAAATTGTGTTTCTATTAATGTCTCTTCTTTTTTTATATTGTGTTTCCACGATGTCTGTGGTTTCACTTCCATCCTGAGCCTGTATTTTTGACTGTTTGCAAAATGGCATTTATTTCTTGTGAACTGTACAACCAGCTCCTCCCCCAAGAACTGAATGAATAGAAAACACAAGTGCCTCAGAAGGCAGAAATAGATGTCCCACATGGCAATACGTTTTCTGAATTACTTCACATGTCCTTCAATAATACCTACACTGACACAAAACTGATGTATCTGGTTGGGTTTATAGGAAAGTAACTTCTAGAACAAAAGTTATTGCAAAGGTGCTTTGTTGTATAAAGATTGTGAAATTAGATGTGAAAATAGTGCATGTTAAACAACGTGGAGTTCATCTCTGATAAGGTAATAAAGTTTGTGAAGATTTTGATTTGAATGCAGAAAGAAGGAACTTGGTTTCTTTGTGCATCAGTAGATAGAGGTGAGTAGTGTATTGTACGAAAGAAGGCACAAAACAACAGGCTGTCTGTTAATAGTCCAGAGTTTGAGGGTTACATAAATCATGATGTTCCTCTCCAATACCCTCGCCCCCATCTTATGGATTGCGAGTTTTCTTAATTTTGCCTGAATATCTTGGTTTTCTGTCGTCCTTACCTTGGACCTTCCTTTTTACCTGTTCTATCCTCCTTGTATATTTTAATAACATCATTTCTTAAAACAAACTGCTAATCCAGATAAAGGCCTATATAAACTACAGACGTCAGTTAGAGATGTGGTGCCAGTATTACTATCATGACTATATTTAAGCTAATATTTTCTCACCTGTTTGGGTGGTGACTTTTTTTATGTATATGTAGTTCCCTATCCGTTCACGAATGAAGACAACCAAGGTCCTGAAAGTCCACATGAGGCCAAATCTTGGTGTAACGGCCAAAGTGCACGTGCTGACTCTGCCTTTGAGATTATTAAATTAAGAAATTGAGAAGAATCCATGTTTAGGGTGGCATATCTGAGGAATTCCCTGCAGAAGAGGCCGCAGGGTCATGTATAGCTTCGATTGTGGTGCTCCCCTTTGCTTTCTCGCCCACCCTCTCTCCAAACTAATAAATAGATCATGTTCCTTTTAGCAAGAGTCTGCCGGAGCAGCTGCTGATTTTCACAGCCGTCATGTCCAAAACCTGATGATTTTTTAATGTATGTCAGATTTGAGCGATCTGCTGAGGAATCAGTGTGTTTATTTTGTTGCAGTTCAGTTGGTACATGACTTTCTTTACATTTGTTATTGGATAAAATTCTATCAGGACTGGACAGCGTAGACGCAGGGAGGATGTTCCTGATGGTGGGTGTGTCTAGAACCAGGGGTCACAGTATGAGGATTCAGGGTAGACGATTTAGGATAGAGATGAGACATTTCTTCGCCCAAAGAGTGGTGAGCCTGTGGAATTCATTACCACAGGAAGTTGATGCCAAAACATTGAATGTATTCAAGAGACGACTGGATATAGCACTTGGGCCGAATGGCATCAAAGATTATGGGGAGAAAGCAGGATTAGGCTATTGAGTTGGACAATCAGCCATGATCGTGAAGAATGGCAGAGCAGGCTCGAACAAAGGGCCTATTGGCCTCCTCCTGCTCCTAACTTCTATATTTCTATTACTACAGTTTTGCGTCATTACAAAAGTTTAAATTTGTAAGTGGTGCAAGACAGTTTTCTGGTAGATTCAGACTGTATTTAAATGTATCATTGACTGACATACCCTATCACCTGTACTAACTTGATGAAGCAGCAACAGTTTATACATACTTTGAGAGCCTCTGCTAGTCTCAAGTCATGTTGACTTTTTTTAAAATTAGTCGTGGGTTGTGTTCATTGCTGGCAAGGCCAACATTTATCATCCATCGCCAGTTACTCTTGGGTTAATGTGGTGAACCTCCTCGTTGAACTACTGTGTTTTGAGTGTTGTAGCAGTGCCCTGGTGCTGTTGAATAGGGTATCTGTGGTTAAGAACTAATATTAAGGATGGTATGTTGGCAAGTGTTTGTGAAAATTTGGTTGATCTGCTTTGGGAAAAGATGTGAAAATTAAGCACCAGGAATTACAGACAATTATTTCATATTCTATTCTAATAATGAGCAACAGAATTTAGTCACTGAAACAGTTAATAAAGAAATCCCAAGCACAAAGAAATACAATACTTGCCAAGAAGGCGCATAAAAGTTACTGAAACTTCTTTTTAAAATGAAACCTAATTGTTGACTCCCTAATCATCCACTCCTAGTTTAAAATAAAAACCAGTGCTTGGAATGATTGTTCCACATACTGTTCTTCCTCTTACCCATTTAAATTCTTGGAAAAGCAGGTCTGTTTGCCAATGACTTCACCACATCACTCCCTACAGGAATTCAGTTGGGAAATTGATCATAAGTCTTGATTGCTGAGTTTACTGAGAATTCCAAAACCAGACTACCACTCTAGATGTGACTCAGGACTCTGGATAAAGTTGATTTGGTTTATTTATTCATTTACATCTACTTTATTCTTAGTGTCTAAGATTTCTTTGCTAGTGTTTTACTGAAAGCTGTGCTCATTTTTGGAAATGTGTACAGGTGTACTTAGCAATCTTTTGACAGAAAAGCAGCAGTTTTAAAAATGAGTTTGATCTCGAGTAGAATTCAATGTAGAATTAATCTTAGCCATAATATTTTGCAAGCGATTAGAAAATACTCTGGGACAGTTCCTACAGATTGAGGTTAGCTAATGTAACCCCACTATTCAACAAGAGAAAACTGGGAATCATAGACCAATCAGCTTAATGCCGGTTGTGGGGAAAATGCTTTAAAGTTACAAAATTTTAGTCCATTGTAAAAGATTTAACAGCATAACATTTGGAAAACAGTGACAAGATTGGACAGAGTCAGCATGGATTTATGAAATGGAAGTCTTGCTTGATAAATCTCTTGTAATTCTTTGAGGATGCAACTCAGAGTTGATGAGGGGAGCCAGTGAATGTGGTTTATTTGGACTTGCAGAAGCTTTCTCTAAATTTCCACATAAGAGGCTAGCATGTAAAATGAAAGCACATAGTATTGTGGTGGGGCTGTAGTTTATTAGACTGGATTAAAAAAAACAACTGTTTGGCAGACAGGACATGGTATGAATAAGTGGCCTTTTTTGAATGGCAGGCATTGTTTACTCTGACACCACAGAGATTAGTGCTAGGACCCCAACTATTCACTATATATTATATATACACACAAATAACTTGGATGAGGGAACTGAATGTAATATCTCCAAGTTTGCAGATGGCACAAAGCTGGATGGGAGAGCGCTGTGAGGAGGATGTAAAGATGCTTCAGCGTGATCTGGACAAGTTGAGTGAATGGACAAATGCATGGCAAATGTGGATAAAACAAGAAGGTGGATTATTATTTGAATAGCTATAAATTGAAAGAGGGGAATGTGCAATGAGACCTGCATGTCCTGTACACCACAGTAAGCATGCAGGTACAGCAAGTGGTAAGGAAGGCAAGTTATACTTCGGCCTTCATAGTGAATGGATGTGGGTGCAGGAGCAGCAATGTCTTGCAGTTATACAAGGCATTGGATAAGACCACACTTGGAATATTTTGTGTAGGCGTGCTCTCCTTATCTGAGGAAGGATGCTCTTGCTGTAGAGGGAGTGCAGTGAAGGTCTAGCAGACTGATTCCTGGGAATGCAGAACTGACATATGAAGAGAGGTTGAACTGAGTAGCATTATATTCAGTGGAATTCAGAAGAATGAGGGGAATCTCAGAACCCAATAAAATTTTAACTGCTCTAGACATGATAGATACAGGAAAGTTGTTCCTGATGATGGGGGAGTCTAGAACCAGGGGATCACAGTCTAATGATGTGGGGCCCTTCCCGACCCGGAAAGTCAATTTTCCTGCTCCTCTGATGTTGTCTGGCCTGCTGTGTTCCTCCAGCTCCACACTGTTATCTCTGACTCCAGCATCTGCAGTCCTTAGTATTTCTGAGTGGAGCAAGTTAGCATGGGTGGTTCTGATTTTAGGAAGAGCCTTATTATCTGTTTCTTTTGGTGTCAGATACCTGACTGTTCTTCTGCAAGTAAACAGTCTATCATAACTCTTCAGCATGCAAAAACTGGTCATACAATTTTTAAGTGAGCTGCCATAAATAATATTCAAATTTAATGTACGTTTCATTAATGAGTAACCCTGCCAAGTTGTTCAGCATAACTATGGCAGCAAAGAAAGTCTTCCTTATTCAACAGTCTTCCAAGTTCAAATTCAGTCAAGGGTGAAGAGAACAAAAACAATGTACTGGAGAAAATCCAAAGGTCTGACAGCATCTGTGGGGAGGAAAACAAGAGTTAACATTGTTCGATTCCGGTGAATCCCTGGCTTACTATCAGCAATCCCATCACTTCCCTTCATTTCTCTGTCTCTGGGCACCAT